CTGCCTGGCAAGCACAAGGTCCTGAGTTCAATCCCTAGTACCAGAAAAGAAAAAAGTCAATCTGGGTGACATTATTCTAGAAATGATACAAAACTTCACTAAACAAAATGATAGGACTGAAAACGTCATACCACAGCAATATATGTGCACCCATCTTTATAGCAGTGCAATTTGTCACAGGTAAATCTTGGAAACAACCCAAATGCCCATCAACTGAGGAATGGATAAAAAAAGATGATAGAATATTACTAAGCTATAAAGAAAAACTTCAGGTTTTTATAGACTTCATTTTTTAAAAAGCCTGTGTTTGAAGTCCAAGTTTCAAAAAGATAAAACTGACTTTAGTGACTAGCATACACAAGTAGGACCCACACAAAGTATTTCCTTATACATTTTACTTATGTTTGAAGATAAGGACAAAAACAGTACAGAATTGTTTCCAAGCATTTGATGTTCACATGAAATATAGTCACTTTGGGTTTGTGTATTTTGCTTGGCTTTTTTTCCTCTTTTCTTTAACCAAGTAGTATGAATTACAAAGCATCTGTAAGTCATTTAATGGATTGGGAGAAATCATGTATATCATCCATAATTGTTTTTGAAAGTGAACTATTAAATTCTTTTTTTTTTTGTAGTTGCCAGCAGGTACTTTATTTAATATTCATGTGTAATATTAAACAGAAAGATTCCTGTTCTTGGAGTAAAAATCTATTAGAATAAACTTGCCCTCATTGCTGTTCTATATGGAGCTTCCGTGCTTGGTCAAGACCTTGGAAACAAGAACAAAAACAAACTTTTAAATCATTTACAATCCCTGACATGGTGGACTGCTGCTGGAGAATTACCACACTCACTGTAAAAGAGCTCTATCTGCTGCTCAAGGGTTTATTTCAATGCTGTTCTTTTATGAAATGCTGTATAGAAACACAAACAGAAGAAAGGGGAGTGAATGCTAAGTAAATGGGCTTATAAAGGAAATACAAAGTCTGTTTATTTATATATTTTACGATGAAACCTGACAGTAGATTTCAGTCTTGAGGTTGCATTCATTTCCTAGTTTGATACAAATTCAGATATTTGGATTTTCTGTATCTAAGGAAAACTTGCAACTTTAAGTAAAGGCCAGTTGTTTGTCTACTTACATACATATCAAAAATTTAAAACAAATGAACATTTAAATGTAACATTTGATTAACCATTCACTGAAAAGAAAGTCATTCTGCCTAACCCAGTAATCTATATAGTTTAGTGATTTGCTTGTCAATAATGAACAAATTGGCCTAATATATTACTGTAATGCTTCATTTTCATTAAGACATCTACCAACTTTTCAAAAAACCTTTTCCATTTGAGACTTGACTTATAATTGTACAGTCCCTTGGGGGAGTTTCAATATTATTCTAACCAATTTTATCCACAATACACAATATAGATGATTACATTGCCATGTAATTTCCAAAGTTACCTTCTCACATTAGTCATTTCAAAGAGAAGAGGCGATGCTGGTGTCTCTAGTATACTTTGCATCATTTCAGTGCATTGGAACATGAATATGTAGATGTGTGGCTATGCTTATGCAATTTACAGCTATACTTCAAAGCTTTATGGGCTACAACACTTCTATATTATTTTTATGCAGCACAGTGATAATGGATTGTACAACCATAAGATACAAAAATTAAAATCCTCTAAGTTTCTGCATGTGGACTACTACTGTAATAGTGCCATAGTATATTTTCTTTTCTTCTCAGTAATAGAAACAGGGTAGGTAATACTTCCAGGGAAAGCTGGGAAAATAAAAGTAGTCTTCATCTACAAATGGAATTGAAGCTCCAAAAAAGCATTCATCCAGCCTCTATTATTAACAAGAATGAAATCTTGGCTCCCATCTTCACTCTTCATTTCCTTTTTAAGCCTCTCCTGACCCAGGTGGTGAAGAGTTATGTTATGTTTCTGAAAGACCTACCAAATCATCGTTAGGACTGTCTTCTTTCTGGTTGTGTGATTTATCTTTTTTTTTTCAAAGTTTTATTGATAAACAGCAATGAGACAGTTTCAAATCAAATCAGAAGTACATGAACTATTAAATTCTAAAGTGTCACACAAAGCAATTTCTTTTTATCTCTACTTTGAACATTTTGATCTCCAACATATATAACTTTAAAACTTAATTTGCTACTCAAAATTCTCATGTATTTAAAATATTTATATTGTAAAATTTCAAAGGCAAAAAGCTAGACTACAAAAATTGATGTTTTTCATTTCATAAATCCACAATTTTTAAAGTCAAGGTATGAAAACTTTACACATTATTAGAGTGACAAATGGCTAGAAGTCCATGTTCACTGATTTGCCACACATATTTTACAAAAGTCTTATTACAAGTACAGATAAAAATTAGATAAATATCCACTAACTGGTAAGTGGATACACTGAGGTACATGCAAAATGTATTAATAAAATCAATAAAGCCTGGCTTAATTCCTCTGGCTGACTTCGTCTTAAAGTTTCTGAGCAAAAGAAATAGGTCATGGAATCATACAATATAATTCCATTTATATAAAATTCAGAGGCTAAAAAAGGGAATGATTAAGAAAACATTTACAACAGTGGCTATCTTTGGCAGATCAGTAAATGCAATCAAGAACCACAACAGGAACCAAATATATGAGCTAGTCTGTTCTTTACCACTCTGGAGGTGGTGAGCACTTAGGTATTTATTATTTATCCTTAAGCTGTATAGGGTGTAAGAAAGTGGAAAACATACAGGTGGACAAGTCTTCACAGCCTAATCTTGATTGGAGCACAAAGAAGATAGGTAAGATGTGAATGTTCAGAGGTTTTGGCTCTTTATGATTTCTAAGCTGTGAAAAAAGAGAACATCCAAATGCCACAAAAAGGTAAGATCACTGGAGAGGAAAAGTTAACAGGACAGGAGGTAGATAATGAAGTTTGGTTGGTTACAGGGAACAGGATGCATGACTTTTGAAAGACCTACTGTCTAATTCAAAGAGGAAAGGATGCTTACAGTGCAGATTTATACACTTGATGAGAGGAAGTGAGGGACGACATGGTAACTTGTTCTTCTCCAATGGAGCAAGGTTATTTGCTGAGAGGAAAAAACCAGAGTTGGCTTTGAGAAAACATGAAGACATAAAATGACCATTTGGATAATAAATAGAATAAACTAATCACAAATAAATGCAGGTGGACTCAAAAAACATTTCACATCCCCTACTACCCTAGCATCTCCCTAGAATGTTTCCCTCTTTCCTTCACCCTGTAAAGTCTCCTCATTCTCCAAGCCTTACCTAAAGAGCAATATCCTTTGTGAAATATTTTTTGGTTATTCCACAGTAATACTTCAAGTTTCACGACACTTGGCTATATCACTTTTTATTTACACTCTACCTTACAGTAACTCTTGTGTTGTACATGATTTGATTTTTTTTGTGTTCTCTCATTAACTATAGTTCCTAAGGGCAAAAATAATCCTTTTTAAACAAACATAGTCCTTGCCATTTAGATCCATTTTCTAGATGTATCATCCACTGAACTGGCCTGAAAAGTAAATGATAATAAATACATAAATATGTTCAGAACTTTTAATCTTCCACTATTTTCTTATTAACTTCTGCTTTTCCATTTATTGCTTTTGAACATAAGTTAAGCTGGAAATTTAACATTAACATGACTGGTTCAAATTTTTCTAAAACTTTTTTTCTTATTAAAACTATTATTTTCATCATTACATTCTTTATGGAGGTAGCTCTTCCAAAAAAATGAAGCAGACTGTTATCAGCAAAGACAAATGTTAGGAATGCCATCTTGTGGTTGAGAGTAGCCTTTGACACTGAGTCTTTCCAGTGACAATCTTTAATTCAGAAATAAAACATCCAGTAAATTTACAAATATAAACATTAAAATCTATTATATAGAAATATAAATTAAATACATGCATTGGTTTGTGAGATTAGCTACCAAATGTTCATTGAATAGACAAATAGGCAAGTTATATAGGAATGAACTTCAAATACACCAAGTACTGTCTACAATTCCTGCTGTACAAAAATGCTTTTATTAAGAATATACATAGCTCAGTCTAATAAGTGCTTGCCTGGCAAGCAAAAGGGCCTGAGTTCAATCCTCAGGTCCAAAAAAAAAAAAAAAAAAAACTCTTTATTAAAAGGGCCAGGGAGATGGCTCAGTAAATAAGTGCTTGCCTGGCAAGCACAGGGTTGAGTTCAAACCCTAGTACCACAAAAAAAAAAAAAAAAAAAAAAATTATTTTTAATTATGGAAAGCTTTCCTTTTGACATAGGTAGTCCTATTGCTGAATCTACCACTAAGCACTCCTACTGTTATATCCTACATTTAAATATTGTGTCGGCCTGGCATATAGATCAGCAGCACAGTGTCTGCCTGGCAAGCACAAGGTCCTGAATTTGATTCATGGTAAAAAAAAAAAAAAACCAACGAACTAAATATTGTCTTGATTTTTTAAATTTTGTCACCCTATCTGCATCCAAAGGCAAGAGAAAGACAGAACACTTACCTAATTCGGACAGTATGAGAAATACATAATTATAGTTCAAAATGGAGTTTGAAGAGCTAATAATACTGGCTCCAATCTTAACAGATGAATTTACTAAATCCTCCATACAAATTACCTCTTTTGAGCAGTAAACTCATTTTCTAATCAATAGAAAAATAGTAAGTGGTTCCTGTTGCAGTATTTAACTGTGTTTAAATATTTTTAATTATTGAATTGTGGTGCTCTTACAAGTGGGCGTGAGTAAAAACTGATGCAATTCTCATAAGCGCAAAGCATGATAGCAAAGTTGTCATCCACTATGCTAGTGTTTTGTCACTTCAAGGACCTAGAAACATATAATGCAGATGTAACAATCAGCCTGAAAGATGCCACTGAATTTTCAAAAGTTAACAGACATACATATACACATTTATGTAAAAATAAACAAAACAAAATGCTTTTGTACTCCAAATCAACTTCTGAGGTTTATTACTGCATGCTTATTACCAGGAGAAAAATACTCTATTAAGAAACCTTTCCTATAAATTGATTTTGGATTACTTTTTCCACATGTATCTTGAGGACATCGATATTGGCTACACAAACCTGATGTTCCACCTTCTCTTGCTGTTTTGTACACTCCAGTAAAGCCTTGTGTGGTGGAGGTAAGGCATTATATGATCCCAGTAAGTAAAGTTGACTTGATGAAGTTTGGTTGATCTCTTTAATCTTTAAAGCCTGCATGATAGCAGGTGCAAACTTTGAGTAATGAGCTGTAGATGAAACAATCACTGGGCAAGTTTTATCTTGCATTCTGTCTGCAACCACTTTTGCAATAGCCGTGTGTGGATCCAAAATATACCCTGAAGTATTGTAGGTGGAGTTAATAGCTGCCAGGCACTCTCCCTCAGAGCACCAGTCAGCTACAAAATCCTGCTGAAGTTTCTCAACCAGAATCTTTTCTATTTGAAAGTGATGCTGATTTTCCAACTGATTAAACAGTTTCGTCATTAATTGCCCATCTTTATTAGCCACTAAATGTAAATGTCGCTCTAAGTTGGAAGACTTGAGAATATCTATTGATGGAGAAAAGGTCTGTGTTAATTTCCTTTCCCGTAGGTCATAATGCCCCGTTTTTATAAAATCAGTCAAAACATGGTTCTGATTAGAGGCACAAATAAATTTTCGAATAGGGATGCCCATCATTTTGGCATACACCGCTGCTAGTATGTTACCAAAGTTTCCTGTGGGAACACAGACATCAACTGGGCTTCCAAAAGAAATAAATCCTTGACTAACAAGATCAAGATATGAGGAAGCATGATATACTACCTGGGGAAGCAATCGGCCCCAGTTTATGGAATTAGCTGAACTTAAGACTGTCCCATACTCCACAGTAAGAAAGCCAGTAAAATCAGAATCATTAAAAATTCTTTTTATAGCTGTCTGACAAAAATCAAAATCTGATGAGACTCCCACTGCCCATCCATTTTCTTTCTGACTTCCAATGATTTGTGTTTTTTGAAAATCACTTATTCCATTCTCAGGAAAAAATGTGACCACAGCTATTCTCTGCTTTTCATTCTTACTAAGACGACTAAAACCATTTAAGACTGCACTCCCTGTGTCTCCTGAAGTAGCTGCAAGTATCATATAATTGCAATTTGGTGGAATACAGTGTGCAAAAATATGAGGCATAAGCTGTAAAGACAAATCCTTAAATGATCCTGTTGGACCATGAAACAACTCCAGGATGAACTGGTTGCCCAAAAGATGTCTGACAGGGGCAATTTTTGAACAGGCGAAGTTTTCCCCATAAGCAGTTTCAATCATTTCTCCCAATCTGGCAGCAGGTATGTCTGCAGGATGTATACACCTTTCCAACAGTATTTGTGCCCTTTCTGTGTAGGTCGCTCCTACCAGGCTTTTCCACTCCCTAGAACTTAATTTTGGGAACTCCTTCTCAGGAACAAAGAGTCCACCATCAGAAGCTAAGCCCTCAATAACAGCTTCACTAAAGAATTTTGTTGAAACTTTCTGTTCCTGGTCTTTAGAACAAAAGTGCCTTGTGGAAATGAATGTTTCCGAGTCAGTATCTTGGTATCTTTTAACTGCACTCAGCACTTTGTCAGCTACCTCCTCTGGGGAAGCCCCACTTTCACATAAAACTCGAGTATCATACCATTTTTTATAATATCGTCTTCTAAATTGAAGTAGGTCTGTTATAGGTGCTCCATAATTGTAACCAACAATCCTATCTATCTTCATTAATTTTAGACGACTAATTATATCTACTATAGGTACATCTAGGTATACAATTATCCCATTTTTCTTCAGATGCCACATGCTAGCCTCATGCATGGGATTAGACCCAGTAAGGGAAATCACACTTCCAGAGGCAGAGACATTTAGTACAGCTTTTCCTTCCTCTTCTAAAAATTGCTCATCACCAACATCCTGTAATTTTTCAGATACACTCATATTCCATGCTTTTTCAAGGATATCATCATCCACATTTATGACACAACAACCTAGTTTCTGACCTAGTATTCTGCCCACTGTTGTTTTCCCAGCACCAGGAGCTCCCATCAGGATAATGTTTTTGTCTCCAATAAGAGAGTGGGTTGAATGCCATGACTTCCTTAATTCTGTGAGTACAAAGCTTCTTGAAAGAGGCAATTGTGCGTGTTTATCCGTTCTAGTATGCGTACTAGAAAAACATTTCTGTGTTATCTGTTTCAGATGCCGACATCGGTAAAAGTGGAGCATCCTCTTTTCACTTTTCTGCCAAGCCAACTTAAGAACTGGCTTTAGCCCTTTTCAAGACATAAAAACAAAAGATACTTGGTTACTAATTTCAATAAACTGTTAACATTCTGACAGGACTGAATATAACCATGTTCACAAATCAACTGTTTAAAACTTTTTGAAGTATTATTTTTAATATCTTTTTCAAATCTCAAGACAATGAAGAAAACCAAAACTTTCAAAAATATGACTACTAGCACCACTAAAAAGCTATTATAAACAGTGGAAACACATTCAGAAAATGTCATCTGACAGATTCTTCAAAATTCATCCAAATCCAATTCATGTTTTCCTTTTTAGGATACTATAATAAAAACAGTTTTATGAGGCTGGCGAGATAGCTCAGCAGCCTAAAGCACTTGCTTTAACAAGCTTAGGCAAATGCACACAGACCACAGTTCGATCCCTGGATCCACATGCTGTGCCAGACCCACCCCCATAGTAGGCTGAGCCAGACCCCCAAAAACAGAAAGGTTTCATGGTTTTTGATTTGTAAAAAAAGACAAGAAATTTATTAGAAATGGAGTACTAATTACTACATATATTCATAGTATTAATTTTTTAGTTGAGTCTATTGATATATTATTAATTTTCTATGTATCTTGGTTATAGAATTCAGAGCAAGAAACTAAAATACTTTTACTTTTTTATAGAACTCTTAGGACAAAGGTATGACATTTTCTTTCCTATATGCCTTTTACATGCATTTTGTTACAAATTATGCTTACATAGTATTCACAGTCAAGGTATTAAAAAAGCCAGAGCAAAAGTTACATTATTCAGATAAGAAAAATAAAATGAGATTAAAAGCTATCACCTTATCTGTACAGGCCACTGCTTTTTTGTTCATATAATATCTTCAGTAGCAGGATTTAACACAAATTCCAGACTCCAGAAAGACAAGAAACGTAGGTTCTTTTTTTGGCCAGCTCAGCCCTCCCTGGGGGCGGCGTGGCATGTGGTGCCAGGAATCAAACCACAGTCACCTGTACCTGCCTAAGCTTGCCTAAGCAGGCGCTTTAGACCGCTGAGCTATCTCACTGGCCCCTAGACAAGAAACTCAGGAAGGTTTCCAATGATGACACCAAAGTTATTCCAGCATCCAGAGATGCTCTATCATTGTTCATGCTGAGCAAGACCTTGTCTTTGGAAATATACTTACCATTAAAATATAAACATAGGCTAAACAAATCAAATGATTTTGCCTTATAAAATCTAATATAATGACTGCTGCAATAATCATTTAAACTGACTGAAGGAACTTTACAAACACATAGTACGGATCTTACTCACTGACAAAACTAATATGAAACCAGACCATATCACATATTAAATGGTATGTTTAAATGTTATGAAAACTTTGAACTGTGCATTCCTAATTATGTGTTACTAGACTTTTGTAATGAAACATCTAAACCATTTTAAGCTAACTCTGAATTCAACTTACAAGTAAACTTAGAACTGTCAAAAGATGTGATTCACTTCCTTATTTGACTTTTCAGCTCATTTACGCTCTGCTTAACTCCAATGACCTGTAAACAAGACATACAGGAATGGATCTCCATGAAGTTTGTTGATGCTGAAGCAAACCCAATGCTTGCAAACCTGGAAATCTAAAATGCAAAAAACTCCAAGTTAATCATAACTACATGTAATACCACAAAATTCTACACATATAACCCATTATTTAAAATCCATCTAATTTTTTTTTTTTTTTTCCTTCCTCGAATGCATTCAGGGCACTTTTGGCCAGCGGGAGAGTTGTGAGGTTCGAACTCCAGGAACCTGAGGCTGACAGCTTTGTGGAAGCAGCCACTTAAAGGACTGAGCTAGGGCCAGGCCCCCAATCCATCTAATTTTTTAAAAGAAATATTAATTATATTCATGTTTCCCTCAATTTTTTTTTTTTTTTTTTTTTTTTTTTTCTTTTGGCAGAACCGGGGATTGAACTCTGATACTTGGGCTTGCCAGGCAAGCGCTTATTCTACTGAGCCATCTCGCCGGCCCCCTACCCCAATTATTAAAAAATTAAGATACTGGGCTTTTTAAACACAAGTCTTTTCATGTGAAAGACTTTACTAATACTGAAGGTATTTCTACCATTGAGCAATAAAAAAGGCAATACATATAACCAAATAAATAAAACCTTTCACAATACCTGATACTTCAATATATATCTATATATTTTTGTTTGGTTGGTTTTTTTTGGTGGAACCGGTGATTGAACTCAGGCCCTGCGCTTGCCAGGGAAGCGCTTATTCCACTGAGCCATCTCCCCGGCCAATATATTTTAAAGAGAAAAAAAAAACTTCAAAATAGGTTAACAATGGTAATATTGTGTATTGCTATCTTTAACTTACTCAGAGTACAAGATATAGGCATTTGTCCAACAATATTAGCATAGCCCCTTTTCAATGAACTAAGAGAAAATAATACTATAATATATATATATATGCTTTTTGGTTTTTTTGCTTTTTGTTTTTTTCTCCTGTCCCCCATCCATTTCTTTTTTCTTTTGAACAATTTCTTCCCATTTTACAATATCTATTACACATTTTGGACCTTATCTACTCTTTTGAGATTCTCACACTAGGGAAACAATCTGATGTTTACACATGAGTATGATTTACTTCACTTATCAGTCTAGTCCCTAGTTGTATCCATTTACCTATAAAAAAAAAAAGGCCTTTACAATTGAGTAATACCCCATGGTACAAAAACATGTTTTTTTATCCATTCCTAAGCTGATAGGCACTTGGTTGTTTATAAGATTTAACTGTATGTCCAATGAACAGAGGGAAAAGCACAATAAGGCTATAAAATGAGTAAACAGTTTCTTTAGGCATTTTATCCACTGAATCATTAAATGGTACATAAAAAAAATCCCTGCTATATGGTACAAATAAAGTATCTTTCATACACAACCACTTCTTACCTGATGAATAAATTCAAAACACATTCCATTGTGGCTACCACTAAGATACAGAGAGCTATTATATGCTTTTCAATGTAAAATACGAGACACTGCTCTTAAAAAACTATTTCATGAGAAATGACTATAGTTAAATGAACCTGTAAAAAAATCTGATATAATTATGCCTGTCATTCTATATTAATAAAATCTCATTTTAAATTTCTAAGAAAATGTCTAGATCTAAATTACTACCATATAAAGTTATTCTTAGGTTTAAATTTTTTTTAATTACTTCAATTTCATGGTAACAAATTGTTATTCAATAAGTAACAAAAATAAAATGCAGAGGACATAAACTAGGAAGCTGTTACTACTAACCGCCAATACATTCTGTAGGCCCTCACCCACTTCCCAGAAAAAACAGGTACAAAGTGCGAAAAAGATCATGCTACAATCACAAGGAGCTTGCAACCAAAATCGTAGTATTTCATACTTATCTTTATATTGCTATCAAAGACAACTAAGATTTTCTTGTTGTTCATCATCGATACCCTAGTACCCTAATGTATTTAAAAGAAAACTTTTAAAGGACTCTTTTTTTATTTATTTTTTGTTCCTCGCATGGCTTCAGGGCACGTTGGCCAGCGGTAGAGTTGTGAGGTTTGAACTCCAGCCACCTGAGGCTGACAGCTTTGTGGAAGCAGCCACTTAAAGGACTGAGCTAGGCCCAGGCCCCCTTAAAGGACTCTTCTCAATTCTATAACATTAGAAAGTATTTTAAAGCACCTATCTTTGTAAGTTTTTCTTCTGTTTCTTATTTATTCCCTATTCCACAACTATTTGTATAAATAGGTTAATCAATTTTTTTTCTGTACGTAGGTCAGGGTCTACAGGGTCTCACTAGGTAGATCAGATTCACAGTGATTTTTTTTTTTCTTTTTTTTAGGGAAGGTCTACAGGGTGTCCAGGGTCTCACTACTAGATCAGACTGTGTGATTCGCCTGTTTACAGCCTCCCAACAACTGGGATTACAGGTGCCTGCCACCACGCCAGTCTGAATCACCATCTCAGTGGGCCCCGTGGGCCGGGCTGGCATTGCAGGATTGAACCCCGGCCACTGAGCTCTGCCTAAGCAGGCGCTTTTGCCCGCTGAGCTATCAGGCCGGCCCTAAATACGTTAATCTTCAGCAAAACAAAACCCTAATTTGCTCATGTACAACAGTGTATACCATTTATACTGTGCAAATTAATTCACAGGCCAAATTCTGGCAATCACATTCTTGTTAAGTTAAATTTCACTGAAACAAAATGTGCTCCTTTGAGGATTCATCTGGTCATTTGTTCAGAATTGTCTGTGGCAATTGAGGGAGAGAATGGGACTGCTGAATTGCTGTGAAAAAAAAAAAATCGCTACCCTGCAAGGTCCTAAAATATTTACAGAACCATTTATAAAGTTTGATATCCAGAGATATGTTATTAGTAATTCCCTACGGTCATAAAGTTGGTCATTTGCATTATCTTAAGCAGTACTATCATTATGAAGAAATTATATTAAAAAAGTAGAAATGTCATTTGGTCTACGCATAGTTTCAAAAGGCAAGAATTATAGACCAAACATTTAAACCAAGAAAGCCCCTTTCCACACGATTTAACAGCCTCATCCTAACACAAATTCAATATACAGTAAGTTAAGCAAGTTGTCTGGCATTTGTAAAAATACAGTGTACAGTACTGACCTAAGGGAAGTCATCCTATTTCAGTAACAACAGGAAATCAAGGATAGCTAGGGATAGGTGGTGCCAACCGCAGATGTCATACTCTGCCTTCATGAGCTCTAGCAGATCCTGGATTGACATGAACAGTGCCCAACAGATTCTTCAAATTAGGGCACTTGCTACCATGCCTGAGGCCCTACATTCAAAATTGGGGGGGGGGGGGTGTCAACGTACTGAAAGAAAAACAAAGGGGGCAGTGATATAAACAGACCTGGATCAAAACCTACATCTATTTATTTGTTTAAAGTGTTCTGGAAAACAAACCCAATCTATGTGAAGAAATCAGAAGAATCCTCCCTTTAAATGTCATTCTTGCCAAAGTTCTGTTCAACAATCTAGAATAAATTCTTAAATCTGATCAAAATGGTTCGGAAAAACTACATTTGTCCTTATCTAATAAAATTTTGAGAGCTCAAAGTAAAGATCTACACACTCAACAGTCTTCCAGCTCGGAAGCGAAGGGGTTTCGCGGCACGCCCGCGGCTCGCCAGTCGCTCCCGAGGCCACGAGCAGCGCGGCTGCCCGAGAGCTTGTCTTCCCTTCCGTAACCAAAATACCTTTTAGGCTTCTAAATAGGTTTCAGCAGTCACATATGCACCCAGATTAACGGAAAATCAAGAGGCTCAAAACCGGAAGAAAACTGCTTCTCTGAAAGAAGCACTTCAAAAAAAATCAAGGCACGGGCGAAACTCCCAGGGCCCGCGGCAGGCTTCTCTCCCTAGGCTGCGGCGCGGCGAGGAGGACCCGGGCGCGGGGAGGAGGACCCGGCCGCGGCGAGCACGGCGGGACGGGGCGGACGACGCGCACCGGCCACTCGCACAGGTGGCGGCGGCCGGCGCGCGGAGGAGGAGCGCAGCGGCCGGGAGGCCAGGAGGGGAAAGCATGCGGCGAACGGGGCTGCATTCTCGTTTCCTTTACTTTCTCCTCTACAAACTCACCAAGAAACGCACACTGAGAAGCCGGGGGGAAAAGAAAGGAAAAGGAAAGAAGCATCCGCAAGCCGCCAGGGCCGCCGCGGCACGTGAACCCAACGCCCTCAGCTCGAGCCCCTCTACCCCTGCGCGGCCTTCCGCGCCGGCGCAGACCTGCCGGCCAGGCACGTGACTGCGCCTGCGCTCCGCCCCACCCCCATCTCCTCGGGCGCCTCCCTTCTGCGTAGCGCGCCGGCGCAGATCTGGCGTCAGCGTGCAGTCCTCGCAGTTCCCTCCTGGGTAGGGATTGGGTGCGCGCGCCCGCATGACGCCTGCGCACTAGCCTCGCTTGGAACTGGAGGCTTTTTCTCTCTAAATACACAAAAAAGCAAAATGTTTTAGGGAACCCTGTTTTCACCTCTTTATTTCCAAAAGTACGGAGGTTTCGGCATGAATTTCTCAGGCAGGAGAAAGCGTTGTAGAAAGGATGAAAGGAAACCTGGCTGGCGAGGCTGCCTTCTATTTTGCTATCGCCTGGTAACTGTTTCCGTAGCAACCGCGCGATGTACAACGCTTAAGAAATCCCAAGGGAAATAGCACGTTTCCTCTTCTTCCCGGGAGAGGACTGCTAAGAAGGGGTCAAAGGGGGATCACATGAAAGAGAAACCTGAGATCTTTGACGAGGCAAAGGCGCAAAAAGAAAGGGGAAGGGGCGGAGATATTAGTATTGTACAGTGAGGAAATTGCAGTTTTTTAGGAGTCGTTTGCTGGCCATGGATCCAACGTGCTTCTCTGAGAGTATTTATAACCTCATACCCAGTGACTGGAAGGAACCTCCCCAGCCTCCTAGGTAGGTGGGTAAGCATAGACTATCACCTGAAACAGAATAGGGGTTACCTCAGCACACAGATGACAGGATTTTTGAAAATAAAATGTTTTGCTCAATGAAATACAACCTTAATGATAACTTCTCAGAGTACTTATTGAAGAAAAGCTAGGTGCTTAACATTTCACACATAGAAGAGCATCCCAGTGCTGTCATTAGCTTGAACTCAGCCTCCTTATAATACGTTATGTCATTATTTTGTAATTTATCTCATAGTTTTTACGTAGTGTGGTTTACAACCTAGAGTAGAATGTCATGTTGTTAAGGAGAGAAAAATCACAATCTATTTTCTAAGACTGGATATTTGGTTTCGGGAGTTCAGTGTTGTATTTCTTAACTGCTTGCTCCTGCCCTGAAGTGTGTACAGTACTTACTCCCTTCCCGCCCCCCGAAGATTATTGTTAAATATAATGCACATTTGTTTGAGTTTCTGTTTTTTGATTGGTTAAAGGAAACAGAAGGATGCGCTCGCTTAGGAAGCACTTGTACTAAAATAGGAAGCAAAGGACTAGATAGTGTTTAGAACTTTTTCAGGTCTAGTGGCTGAATGGAAGAGAGAATGGTTAAAGTTCCAGACAGCGATCCAAAAATATATGATTGAGTGAAAATTTTTGCATAGTTATTAGGACTCCTGATGCTTCCCAGATCTCAAAAAGATAACCAGTCCAGAAGCACTTCAGTTACACTCCTGTGTATATACTGCTTAGAATTTTGTTAGACCTGTGGGGATAAAAGAAGGTAATTAGTGGAGAAAATTTCTTTCCTTCTAGGACTTAGCTTGCTCTTTACCTTCATCTTTTTCTTTATGCTAGTCAAAAAAAAAAAAATCGCTTTAAAGAGCACTAGTCTAAAACTCAGGCTCTACAGCCAATTGTTCAGAGGTCTTAAATGCGTTTTCATTTGTTTTACGATCTGTAATACTGAGTGAATTAAATGCTCTCTAAGGTCCCTTTCAAATCAAATATTCAATTAGTTTTACTAATAATTACTTTGGGTTGCATAACGACAATTTCCATTTTCAGTCTAAGTGAATAAACTGGCTTTAACCAGAGCAATAAGTATATTGTGTTTACATTATTTTCTCTAAATCTTGTAGAGATTAGAAAAAGGAATGTAAAATAAACTATGATATAGTTGAAATTATTTGTTGCTGAACCAGCTTTCGGCCCACAGTCTGACATAAATACAAGTTCCTCCTTTTGTAACACCCTGGTACAGTGGTGGTGAACCTATGGCAGGCATATTATCTGTTTTTCTTTTAAAACAAAAGATATGGGGGCCGGGCAGATGGCTCAGTGGAATAAGCGATTGCCTGGCAAGTGTAAGGGCCTGAGTTCAATCCCCGGTTCTGCAAAAAAAAAAAAAAAAGAAAAGAAAAGAAAAGGAAAAAGAAACAAAAGATATATGCATTGCTTTTCTAAACTAAAACTTCAGTATTTGGGTTTAATTGAAGTGTTGGCACTTTGTGATAAATAAATGGGTTTGGGGTTGCAGTTTCGACACTCCTCTCTAAAATGTTCACCATTGCCACATTGATTGTATATTCCCTACAGTAGTGAATATTGATGTTAAGATGTATTATTAGATGGATATACTGTTCATTGGTAAATTAAAAGGCTTTACTGTATCTAGGCAATTTTTTTAAAAAAATATAACAGTCAATCTTTATTTGGTAGACATTAAGCATTCCTAATCTGAGAATATACTAAATAATTTCAATCCTCTGAAAACTGCTGAGCATTGCTTCTCATTAATGTATGGTTTACTTTTTTATATTATTTGTTTTTTGAGACAAGGTCTCTTTAGGTAGTTCTGTCTGGCCTTGAACTCACTGGCCCAGCCTTGCCTCAAACTCATGGCAGTCTTCCTGCCGCAGCCTCCTGAGTGCTGGGATTATAGGCATGCATCGCTATGCCCAGCTGATTTTCACCAAATCCACCTCCCTTCTTTTTTTTTTTTTTTTTTTTTTGGTGTGCAGGGACTCACTGCATAGATCGGAGTTGTAGTGATCCTCCTATTTACAACCTCCAAAGTGCCGGGATGCCGGGATTACAGGCGCCCGTGGTGTCTCAGCATGCCCCGGGTGTGGGGCAATCCTGAGGATCGAACTCCCAGCCCCTGCATCTGCCTAAGCAAGCACTTTAATCCACTGCACTATTTGACTGGCCCTCAACCTCCCTTCCATTGATGGTTGTAGTAATTTACTATTTCAAATCATTCCTTTTCCTCTTCTGTTTAAGGCAGTATTCCAGATATGGTTTAAACAGCCCATGAACCTAACAACTTATTTCCTTAATACTTGACGTAATACCTTTACCTTGACAGTCATGTCCCACTGTTGGCCCACATTGAAAATCCCTGCCTGTGTTACCTCTACGATTAGTCTCTCCCATCTTTAATTATGTAGCCGATTTCTTTTTTTTTTTTTCCCTCAACCCATCATTAATTTATGGAGCTAGTTTTCAATTATGAATTGTTCACATTCTGTCCACAATTCTTCTCAGCTATGTGTCATTTGCAAATTTAATAAGCATGTCCTCTATATCTGCATCTGTCATTGAAGGGCACATACTTTACACTGTATCTAGTATCCAGGAGGATGCTAGATAGCTCTCTAATGACTGACAATAATCAGTTCATATTTCTCTAATTTATCAGCAAGGATTTAATGAGGGGTTTTGCTGGCATCAGTATGAAAATTGTTATGCCTAAAATATCTCCAAATGAATTTTAACAAGCTTATTTTTTCATTGATGTTCATTTGTGGTAACTGAGACCCCAAGTGGACTTACACGATTGTTGCCTTTCAGCAAACCTGACTCTCCAACTCTGTGGGATCACCATCACTGTGGAATCACAATGGAGTTTCCAAATGTCCACTTTTTGAAAACAGGAGTATTTAATATCATAAGTACCACTAGTTCACTTTAAGTGACTTTCTTGTTGTCATTATGATTAATTGTAATCAAAATTTAATTTTTTGAGGTTCCTGTACCTCTTGGACTACATTCTGTTTTATTCAGTGTTCATAATACTATTCCTGTGTGCCCTGAAGTCTTTATACCATTTTCATGTAGAGCGTGGTTCTGTTTCTGACTTTACTGAGCATCCTGTTCTTGACAGTTATGAACTACAAAATAATGGTCATTTTTATCCAGAGGTTTTTTTGTCTTTGCTACTTTTCTGATTAACTACAGGCAAAAATTCAATTCAGGAGAGCGATAACCCTTTCATTGAACTTAGATGTAAACAAAATCAGAGTATTCCAAAATCTTTTTTTGGTATAATAATATTTCATGCTAAAATTCTCATTGCTGCATTATATGGTTTCAGGCAGTTTTATGATCAGTGTTAGGTGCTTTCATTCATATTTTTTTCATCTGACTAAGCAATTTGTGCATATTTTCAGAATACCAACACTTCATCTATCCCATTTCCTTTATCCAAGTGGTCTTCCATGATAGTGGTCTTTCGTTTATCCAAGTGGTCTTCGTGTGCTTCCGTGATACATCACACAAACACACACACACACACACACACACACACACACACACACACAGAGTTTACATAAAGAAGATTCAGGCTAACCAGGAATTAGTTACCCAGCAGAAGAAGTGGTGTCTGTATTGGAGACACCTGAAAAATGTAGAAGGATCAAAGATGTGGGAAACCATGGAGTGGAACTGACCATTCACAATGGCGATCTTCTCCTTCAGATACATGGATAAGTGGAAGGACATAGACAGGATTTTTGTCAGCAAAGAAAGTTGTAGACACCATTTGCATTTACTGGCTTAATATTTCTTTATTTTAAGTTATTGCCTCTCATTTCTATGGATGACATAACACACAGAGATATTAGGATGCATCTCTGACATGTCATATATACCTAAAAAATAATAAAAGGGGGAAATATCCCAACAGTACTCCTTAGAATTCGTTGTCAGGGAAATTTTTAGGTAAGTGAATTTTTGTAAATGTTAGGCTTATTTTTTACATAGTTATTCAAATGCATAATAAGATGTGGTATCTTAAGCCATACCATACAGTATGTTGTGGTCTGAGGAAACTAATTTTAGAAGTTGGAAAAGTATGTCACTTTTTCTGTCTATTATATTAACAATTGAGACATCATGACCTTTTAAGTACTTAAGCTGTATCTTCTAGGATACAGGTAAAATAAAGGGTTCAGTAATCTTAGTTGTTAAAAATCTAATCAAGACAGATATCCACAGTATAATAATACAGCAAAAATAGTAATAGTAATAATATGCGCAAAGTATTTACAATGTGTCAGGTACTGTGATTAATGTTTAATTGTCCCAAGGTCCCTGGGAGATAAGGATTATTGTCCTAGCCTTTTGGAAGAAAAATTCAGGTCCAGAAAGTTGAGGCAAGTAGAAAGAAGGTCTGAAACCAAGACTCTGTACCAGAAGGCCCACTATACCTATAATCCATTTTCAGTCTTTTTGTTTGTTTGTTTGTTTGTTTTGTTTTTGTTGTTTTTTTGTGGGTTTTGTTTTTTTTTTGTTTGTTTGTTTGTTTTTTGCTTTTTGGGGGTTTTTTTTGGCAGTACCAGGGATCGAACTCAGGACCTTGCACTTGCCAGGCAGGCACTTATGCTGCTGAGCTATATCCCTGGCCCCTATAATCCATTTTCACACTGCCTGAGTGAGTGAAGCAAACCTCAGGGGCACATTTTGCTGCGTAGCATGTTTTTTGATCTTCTAATTTATCTTGTATCATATTGTTTAGCATTTATGCACTATCTTGTTCTAATACAATAAGGTATTTTGTGATGAAGATATTAAAATGGGAAATAATAGAAAAGTCAGATAATGGTATACATGAGGCTGCACATGAAAAATATTATTTGAAACCTTGTGTAAATTTGGTTCAGAGCTACTAGAAAGCAACTAGCTGACAAAGCAAAGATTCTTCTAGGGATTCTTTAAGGATCATTTATCCTCCAAGTTACATTGTCCATAGCCAAAAGCAAAATAGTAGCTAAAGAGACTTGCAAGTGATCTTGGTGTAAAGCCATACACTTCCCCCAAGGTTTATGGGTAGAAGAGACACTGTATATGTTATAAATATTTCGGTGGTACTCTTATGTTACATATACTGAGTTTTATAAGTCTAATATTGCTCTCATTAGAGCTAGTGGGATAGCTCAGCAGTCTAAGCACCTGCCTGGCAAGCACAAGGAACCTGGTTCGATCCCCAGTACTGAATGCCATACCGACCACCGAAACGGGGCATGGTGGTATATGCCTATAATCCCAGCCCTAGGGAGGCTGAGACAGGAGGGTCACTATGAGTTTGAACTGTGTAGTGAGACCCTGTACCAAATAAATGAATAAATAAATACTGGTCTCATGATAAAACCACAAGCCGTGCTGGCTCTGCCCCCATGTTGCGCTGAGACCTTGGCTGACACTGGGTGTGGTAGTGCGTGCCTGTAATCCCAGCGTTTGCGAGTTTGCGAATTAAAAATAACAAAAATTGCAAGTTAAAAAGTGGTGAGAATGAGCCTGGTATGGTGGGCCAAGCCTGTAATGTCAGCACTTGGGAGGCAGAGGCAGGAGGATCACTGTGTTTGAGGCCAGCCTCGGCTCCCTAGTGCGTTTCAGGCCAGCCTGAACTCCACAGTGAGACCCTGTCTCAAAAAACCAAAACAACGTAAAAGAACAGTGAGAACATACTGTTCGCAGCCTGTTCCACTGCAGAAATTATGTGACTGATCATAAAAGCATGTCTGCCAACCCAACTTTCATGGCAATTTTGACACGTTTGGCTTAAATATTTTTCCCAAGGTGTCTGATCAGCTCACTAAACTCTGACCATTGCTGCCCATCCATTGAGATCAAGACTGAGGAATACCCCTAAAAGAAATTTTTAAAAAAGGTGAACATTTTTCCCAAGAAATATATCCACATCATGAAAGAGACAATAGAAAGTGTTAAAAGTAATATAGCTGAGCTTCTGCTTCCAACCAAGCATCTTTTTCATCTAAAATAACTAGAACATCTGAAAAAAAAAATACATGAAACTGGTTTTTAGACAGTAGAAATCACAGAGCACACATGCTAAAAGATAAAAGAGTGAAGCAAGTCCGACAACTACCCTACCATAATTGCTGGGAAGAATTTCCAGGCCAAAGTCCAGAAAGGGAATGTAAGCTAAGCTGAGGAATCTCCCTGAGTTCAGAATTTGGGAAGGCCAAAGAAACTAGGATTTATAGTACGGTGTATCGGAGAGCAGGAAATTGCTCTGAGCAATGGAAATCTGCACAGGGACTTCCCGAAACCCTTCGGTGAATAGCACATGTGGATAATGAAATTGCCAAGGCCAGGGAAACAACCAGCGGAAAACAGCAAGGCTAGGGCAGCTCGCGTGCTCAGCAGCCAGAGTGGAGACTCGGCCCGCTGCACAGGACAAGTAGAGCTCTCGGAAGTGGGGCTCAGCTACCACTAGACTAGAGGCTGTTCTGGACCTGTCCTAAACTCAAAACCAAGCTTTAGAGTGATCATGTTTTTTCCAGCTATCACATTTGCATTTCAGAATAAAACAAATGAGCACTTTAACAGAAAAGAAAGAAAATAGTAAAAATTCAGTGATCAACAATGTTAACTTCAATATTAGTGTTCACTCTATAATTACTTACAGGGCATAACCAAGAAGAAAATCAGTCAGTATAAACAAGCATAGAAATGGCATACACAAGAGAATTAGCAAACAAGGGCTTGTTAAACAGCTGTTTTAATATCTCATGTTTAAAAAGGCAGAGGAAAGCATGATTAAAATAGGGAAAGAACTGTACGGAAGGGTTTGAATTTAACCTGTAGACATGAAAAATACAGTAACATGTCCCAAATGAAAATAGTGTATGAGATAGGCTTAACAGCAGCTAAGGTACTATTACTCTGAATTGAAGGCACAAAGATAGGAAAATGCAAGATGAAACTCACAATAAAAAGACCAGGAATAGAAATGGAATATCGGCAAGCCGTGGTCAGGCTCAAGCATCCTGACAAACATGTAATTGTAATTACAGAAAAGGAGGAAAGAGGTGGAGGAATAGAAGAACTGCTCGAATAAAAGTAAAGTGTAAGGGCTGGGGAGATGGCTCAGTGGAATAAGCACTTCCCTGGCAAGCGCAAGGGCCTGATGAGTTCCATCCCTGGTTCCGCCAAAAGAAAAAAAAAAGTAAAATATGTCAAATTTGATAAAATCTCCGTGTCCACAGGTCCAAGAACACAATGAGCACCAAGCGGAGAAAAAAATAAAGACAACTGTGCCAAGAAGCATTAAAATTAAATTTATTAAAACTCTCAATAAAGTAAAAGTTTAGGGGTTGGCAAGCTAGCTCAGAAGTCTAAAGTGCCTGCTTATGCAAGCTCAGGTAGGCTGAGGGGACTGCAGTTTGATACCTGGCTCCACATGCCATGCCAGCCCTGCCCGCAGGATGGGCTAAGCTGCCCCCCCCCCCAAAAAAAAAGTGAAACAAAAATTTTAAACAGAAAGAGAGAAAAAAGAAAACTTAAATACATGGAGTGGAAAAGGAACAGCAACATATTATTAAGAGGCAGTGGGAACCAGAGATTTAAAAAATCTCTTTATGAAGAAAGAATGATACCACTAGGAAACTTGGATTTACAGAAGTGAATAAAGGCCAGGGAGATAGCTCAGTGGCACAGTGCCGGCCTGGCAAGTGCTAGGTCCTGAGTGTGATTTGATTCCCAGTACAAAACAAAACAAAACAAAACAAAACAAAACAAAACAAAACAGACAGCAGAACACTGCAAATGCTAAATATGTTGGTACATTTTAAGTGTTTCTTTCAAAACCTTTAACACAATTGGCTAGATTATAAAAATTACAAAGAATTAGGGGATCTTTGACCCAGAAGTAAAATGTATGACAACATGAAGACAAAGGTAAATGTGGAAACAAGAATACTTTTGTAAGATTCTTCTTTCTTTCCCCCCCTTTTTGTGGCACTGGGGGTGACAGGGCCTTGCACACCAAGCTGGTGCTCACTGCTGAGCTGCATTCCAGGCCCTAGTAGGTTTTCAGAGCATACAAGAAGTGGTGCACTGTTATTGGAGGTAGGCTGTGAAAAGTTAAACATACAAAATAAAATGTACAAGGCAGGATTCAGGAGAAGCATGAAGCAATGGAGTATGTAGAAGACAGCAAAATGAAAAATTCAAATTACATTACGTATTAATGGTCTAACATGTCAAACAAAAGTTATTGTTCATTTGATAAAAACTTCTATTTCCATATATCCATAAGGAATCCTGTTTAAGAATAAAGACACAGACAAGTAAAGAATCTGAGAATGGAAAAAGATACACTATCCTAAATCAAAGATGTTAGAGTGACTGAGTAGATTTTAGAGTTCAGAATTTTTTTTTTTTTAATGAATTTGGTACAAGATCTCACTACACAGCTTTGACTTGTAGTGATCCTCCTGTTTTCAGCCTTCTCAGCACTGGGATTTCAGGCATGCGCCACCACACCCGCTCTTTGTGGCCGCTCAGCACTCCTGGGGGTGGGGCCTGCACGGGATGTAGTGCCAGGGATCCAACCCTGGTCCCTGTGCTTGCTTAAGAGTACAGATTTTAAAAGGAATAAAATGTGTGGGGTTTTTTTTTATAATGATACAGTCACTTTTCAAAGATGAAATCATTATTACAGTGGATCACAACATATAAAGCAAAAGCTGATTGAGTGAAAAGAAGTAGCCAGATCCAAGACTATATAGTCAGAAATGCTAACATCTCTTTCAAAAATGAATAGAAAAGAAACATTTATTACATAGAACACTTAAAAATACTTTCAACCAGTTTTATCTGGTAGTCACTCGTAGAACTGTACATTGAAGAACAGCAAAATACACTTCAAGTACATACAGAACGTTTGACCAAATTGTGTCATAAAATAAATGCAAGGAAATTGAAGAGGCTTGAAATCATTCAAAATATATTATTTTACTACAATGGAAATAAATTGGAAGTCAGTTATATATCTGCAAAGTCCAAATATATGTAAACTAAAGACATTTCTAAATCAGATGTAGGACTATAGCTTAAGAGGTATTTGGGCATGAATGAAAGTAAAGCAGTGCATGTCAATATTTATTAAATACAGTTAACCTGGGGCTTAGAATGCTATAGTTTTATAGCAGAAAGACATAAAGCTTTAAAATAAAATATTATGCCTGAACTTATATCTTAAGAAAGTTTTTGAAAAGGAAAGCAAATTAAGAAGTAAGGAGAAAAATAGCAAACATCCATACAGAAATCATTGGAATGGGATTCACGTAACCATTAGATACCCCCCCCCAAAAAAAATCAGTAAACTTCTAGTTCATTGAATTCAACAACATTAAATACTATCTAGCTAGCAAGACTAACTAGGAGACATGTGGAGGGTCAGGAAGAGACAGGATCTCACAGTCAGTGGTTTTTCTTAGGAAATACTGTGAATACCTTCACTGTGGTACATTTTTTTTAGGCCAGAGTGTGACTCATATCATAGCTTTCCATCTGATAAATTGAAAAATATATATGTTGATATATTTAAATTAAAATGTATGCCTGTTTTTAAACTTTCTTACTATAAATATAATTACTATAACTTAAAATTTAATTTCAGGTACACATCAATTTATAAAGAAGCTATAAAAAATGACATGAAAAAGTCTAAAACTTCGATGAAAACCATGGGACCAGCAAAAGTTGAAGTTCCTTCTCCAAAAGATTTCCTAAAGAAACATTCAAAGGAAAAAGCCCTACCACCCAGTAGGTCTTATCACAATTTTTTAAAAATATTAGTAATATTAGTAAATTTGACCAAAATTGTTAGTGAATATTGAATGTGCACAGGTGACAGCACCTTTACCTCACAGTAAACAGAATGTGAGTGACTTAGAGAAAGTAGAAATAGAATTGCCATAGTTACTTTTCTCATTGCTGAGACAAAAATACCCAGTGTCTGGGGCTGGTGAGATGGCTCAGTGGTCTAAAGCACCTATTTGGAACAAGCTTAGCAAAGCACAGGTACCGCGGTTCAATCCCCCAGCACCACATGCCAGCCAGTCGCGCCCCCTGGTGGGCTGAGCTGGCCACACACGTGCGCGCACGCACGCACGCACACACACACACACACACACACACACACGCAATAAATAAATGTTAAAAAAAGATACCCAGTGTCCAAAGGTAAGGGAGAGAAAGTTCATTTGGGTTGCAGTTTTTTGTTTTGACATTTACTGTTTGTTTGTTTGTCTTTTTGAGATAGGATTTCACTATATAGTTCAGGCTAGCCTTGAACTCACAGTGTAGCAAGGAGGCCCCAAACTCATAGCAAGCCTTCTGCCTCAGCCTCCTGAGTGCTGGGATTATATGTGTGTGTCAACACACCCAACTGGATAACAGTTTGTAGCAGTTTCTGTCCAGTCAGCTTGCTCCAGGACAGTGTGGCATGGCAGAGGGGCATCACAGAGGAGAGACAGTTCATGGTGGGCAGAAGTTAGCAAAGAAAACAAGGGACCTTAGCAGCTTCTTTCTTCTCCTTTTATACTCTTATCTAGGCTATCTGGAATTTGCCAAACCAATCAGTAGACTGATTTAGTGATCACCCACCCCTAATCCCAGCATCAAACTCTAGATTTAGCCACCTCTGAAAAAGCCCCACCTATGATCAGATGAGGCTTTGGGGGGATGTTTAGATACAAACCATAACAAAAGTATATGGCAGAAAAAGGTAGCAGAGGTGGTAAATTGCCCCCAAATAGTCTTTTAATGGGGCACCATACACTGTATCTTATACTATCCATTAAACCTCACTTCTAGCACCAATGCATCAGCATCTTAGTCTCTGGCTATGTGACTCCAGTTATAAACAGCAATGGTATGAAGAGTTTAAAGCCCGGGACCTAGTATATCTCTTAGTGGGCAAAATTTCCCACCATTGAAACTTTTTTCTGGTTTTACCAAAAGACAGACATTATAATTGATCCTAACAGTTTTAAACCCCTACCAGGCTCACCTTTAAGTATAAGCTTTCACTCTTGAGAAACTCTGTGACATGAAGTCTACTTATGAAGTGGAGAAGAGGCTTCATGAATGAGGGATAGACAAACCCTCCTGAGGCACTTGCACAGGGCCCTGCACCTAGAAGGCCCCATGCTTGGTTTAATCCTCTGCTCTTCAGTCTTAAAATTCTTACAGCTTTTGATGAAGGAGCACTGTGTTTTCATTGTGCAGTGGATCTTAGAATTAGATAATGAATTGCAGTCATAGAGTATATTGATATCAGGAAAGAAAGCTGTCAGGAACATGGTAAGGACATAGAAATGGATCTGAGAAGAAGTATGCCTGGAAGCAACTTCTTCCCATTCTGAGGAGGTCTTCTGTGGTATACTAAGGCAGTAAAGAAAACACAGTCTTTCTCTTCACATGTTGCCTTTCATGTCTACCAGGAGCAAGGAAATAATACAACAAATTCTCAAGCCCAGCTAGGAACTTACATTTTTACCTAGGTGACAGATACCTTGTGTCCTACAATTCTCTTATAGCCCACATCCAACAACAAAAATTAAAGGCATCATCAGGAAAGATGGAAGAAACAAGTCTGAAAATACAGCATCCTTACTTAATTCATGACTTCAAAAGTATGCTTTATATTTTCTTCTGCGGCATCTTGACCTTGTATAACCAAGCCCACCATTTGACAACATTGGAAAACCTTAAAATAGAGTTAAGCATTTTCAGTTCATTAAGACAAATGATACTTCTTGAGTCTATGTCTTCTATAAGGCTAAGAAAATTACATAATGCAACTACTAAGCTATATAAACCTGTGCATCCAAAAAGGAGAACCAAAGTTTCTTATTGACAACCATCAGTCTTTCTGAAGTCTCTCTCTTTTTGTAAACATTGTAGGGCAAAACCAAATTCAAATTTTCATTAACCTAATTAAAATTAAATTCAAGATCAGACCTGAGGGAGTACATCAGTGGTAGAACACATATGTGAGGCCCCCAGCATCCCAAAAGAGGAGATGAAGGAGAAGGAAAAGGAAAAAAGATACACCACCTTTCTAGTCCAGTCCAATGAGACTCAGTATTTCTAGAGTCCAACTGAAGACATGAGCAGCTCTTCTAAGGTAGCCCTCCATCCATGGTGGTCTTTTCCCTGTGCCTTCACAGGGGCTTTACTCTATGTCTATCTCTGTAAACTTCCTTTTGTAAGGACACCAGTCAGGTTAGGGGCTGCTTTAATGAGCTCATTAACTTAATTACCTCTCAGAAGTCCCTGTACCCAGACAGTCGTGTTCCGAGCTACTGGGGATTTAGGGATTCAACATAGGAATTCTAGAGGACACAGTTTAGCCTCTAACAAGAGATTCATCTGGTCCATAGATATCTAACAATAAATAATGTTTTATTTTCTTATGCAAGTTGTATAAACTCATAGTAAATCAGTGAAGAAATGAATGAAATCAAAATCCCTAGTAATTGTGTAGGGTTAAAATTGGAGGAAAGCCTTACTAAGATAGTTGTTGCTCTCAGTTCTTGAAAATACATTATGATTATTTTATATTTTGGCATTTGACAAATCATATTGATGTGGCTATATTAAAATAAGATGAGATTTAAAAATAAATAAAATAAAATAAGATAAAGTAAAATGATGAACTGAAAAAGCTGTGTAAAAACAAACAATGTCACCTATTGCTAATGAACCAAATGTGGTATAGAGATACGGAGAATATAAATCCTGTTTAGTAGTTGATTTAAAAGCATGAATAAGAAGCTTCAAGAGTATTGATAGTTTTTATTGTTAAGTGGAGTCTTGTGTATAAGGCTATTACCTGATTATTAGTATCTTGTAATAGTAATTTTCATTTAAGAAAAAAATCCATAGATCCTAGGACATTAAATTTATTGTATGATTTATTTACTTGGTGGTTTAATTTTCTTCCAAAGAAATAATTTTGATATTGGTAATAGTAAAGCATTTTAATGTTTCTTAAACTTATTTTAAATGAGAAAGCTCATTGTTTGTTGTTGAAAGTTTTATAAGGAAGTTTTTTTCATAGTAATTAGTTAAAAGTATATTTAACTTGGGATATTTATCCTTCTCCCTTTGACTATTATACTGTTTTTCAACCTGTTAATTCCTTATATTGTACTTAATGTTTTGCATTTTGAGTAGTGACATTTTTCGTTTCTTAAGCCACTTTATTCAGGTTGACCTATAAAGGTTGTATATTTAATGTACATATTTAATGTACACTAAGTCCTCAAATTGTGACTATCCAAGTTGCAGACTTTAACAGATACATGCAGCCTTTGCATTACGAACATTCATAGGTGTGAACCAATCTCAGCAGTAGCTCCTGGGTCTGGTGGACGTTGTCACAGTGGTGCTGCTGTGTGCTCCCTGCACGGCACTCAAGCATACAGTACTACAGTGCTCGGGCCGAGCCCAGGATATCAGGAGTAAGCGGGAAAGCAATGATGATGCAGAGAGGACTTCTAGGAAGCCGAAAGCGATGTACGTTGTGTATTGGTGTCAAAGTGCGTAAGATTGACTTTGCTGGATTTACAAACAAATCAGACTTAGGAACATTCTCCTGGAACAAAAGTCGTTCCTCAGTCAGGGACTTAATGTATCCAAGTGAACACTTTGGGAAGAAGTATAAACTTCTTGCCATAAGTGTATGAATTTATTTTTTATGGAACCCCAGGACTCACAGTAAAATGCCTGAATGTTATAAGCCATACTAAGTCAATATACTTGTAATATTAACAAGGAAATGTTATACTTAACAGAAAAAAAGTTTGACTGGAACGAGCCCAGAAAGCCTCCTGTGCCACTGAGGACGGATCATCCAGTCATGGGAATACAGAGCGGAAAAAATTTTATCAATACAAATGCAGCTGACGTCATCATGGGAGTGGCTAAGAAGCCAAAGCCAATTTGTGTTGACAAAAGAACTGGAGACAAGTATGACCTTGAAACATCAGGACTACTTCCAAAGTACATCCATAAAAAGGTAGCTTGGTGAAGTATTAATGAGAGCCCTGAAATTCAAATAATTTAAATATGGTGTTCATAATGATTGCCTTTCTTACCATGAAGTTCGCTCTCACTGGACAAATTATCTAAATTGCCAACTCCCATTCCTCAGCAGTCTACATTTGGTCCAGTGCTAACATGATAGATGTACAAAGAACTTACAATGAATAATACTATGTAGTTCAGGAGATGAATGTGATCATTGTTTTTGTCTGTGTCAGTTACCAATGTATTTAATAGTTATAACACACATTCTTTGAAAGAAGTTTTCAGTGAGGTGAAACTGCCACTGAAAACATAGTTACTATTGTAAATCTAGAAAAAATATGGTTCTCTTGGGCCCTTTATTTCTGCCTGAAAAGACATTTATCAAATACTCGTAATTTCTTTTTTATTTTACAAAGTGAGTACAAAATAGTATTAAGACAGAAAAATTACAAGTGATACAGAATTTTACTTATCAAAGTAATATGAATTTCGCAGTATTTGTTGTAATGCATAGCATTGTCTTCCAACCTGTTATTCATATTACCAGATATATGCATGCAAAATTGGAATAAATATGAAAAAAGAAATATGTAAGATATTAAGAAAAGAAAAAGGAGAAAATTGAAAAAAGGAGACAAACAAATTAAGCATTATCTGCTCCTTTCCATAGGCCAGCAGAAATCCACAGTAGAGCTGTCCAAACCATCCTGTCTACATACATAGATATATCTCTTTCCCCTACTCCCTCTCCTAAATACTCACAATTTCATTGATGAACATTTACAGAAGTTTGAGCTTACTGGTGTAATTATAGAATATCTTTGAAAATAAAGTTTACAAAGAAAAAGGTAAATTCTATTTTGTATATTTGTGAAGCATACCAATGCTTGAAATACAAACTAAAGCTTGAGTGAAAATCCTAAAGAATAATAAATAATAAGTTGTGTCAAAAAAAAAATTGGGCTTGCCAGATAGCTCAGCACACTACAGTGCCTGCTTAGTCAGGTGTAGGGACCAGGATTCGATCCCCAGCGTGCCATGCCAGCCCGCCCGTGGGGCACACTGAGAGGGCGAAAGAGACTGGGCGTGGTGGTGCCTGCCTGTAATCCCAGCGCTTGGAAGGCAAAAACAGGAGAATCACTATGAGTCTGATCTATATAGTGAGACCGTGTAGACCTTGAACTAAATACATTTAAAAAAAAAAGAAAGAAAGGATGAAAGAAGGAACAAAGGAGGGAGGAAAAGAATAGAAGGAAGGAATGGAGAGAGGAAGGGAGGGGAGGCAATGGGGGAGGAGAGAAAGGACAAGAAGGGGAAGGGGAGGAAGTTGCAGCGGCGATGCACAAGGACCTTGCACTGAGGTTCTGCCATGATTGCCCATGCCAAGCCAACATCTACTGAAACTCAGTACAGAGACATCAAGGTGGTTTACAGAGAGCACTGCTTGAGCTCTGGACAACTCTTCTCACTGACCAGGCTGAGATCACCTTGGGAGGACTTCAGCAGGCATCTATGAGTGGCCAGCTCATGCTGATAAAATTACTTAGAGCTGCTCAGAATACTTCCTTGTGTGGGACCTTTGGAAGATGCTCATAGGCCTTGTTTCATATGAGAAAAGTGGAATTTTATGGTGAGCAGAAAAGGCACCTATGAATACTGAATCACTGAAGGTTTTGTCCACCCGTGAGATCTTTCAATGTATTATACCATTCTTAAACACAATGTGCCAAATCTTTGTGAACCTGCAGAGTCGCCATTATAAACATGAGTTGTATTGGGTTGCCTTGAAGCGTTGCCCCCAGTGGTTGCGAAAATAGCTTGAACTGTTTAATCACTGCACTAACTCACCTGAATGTTATGCTCTCAAGAGTTATTTGTATAATGCTGTGCAAGAGCCTTGCCTTTCTCGGCCACCATTGTACGTTGTTCTGATGACACACATTCTCAAATGCTGTGGGGAGAATGAACATGGAGGAGTCCCGTATCTCCAGACAGAGACACCAGTGTGTTCAGTGATCTGAAAGAATTTCACTGTTTGTCCTTGTAAGCAGCCTGGGCGCCTAAAAGTTTATCTTGTACTTCCAAAAACAACCTCTGTGTCCCAAGGCAGTTTTCTCTTCAAGTTAAAATGCTTGGTATCATTAAAAGGTTTATTTTTCTAATGCCTCTGGAGCATGTGTCTTCTTTTATTTAACAAACCCATGAGAAAGAGACTTCAAAGATAGTGAAGAGATTTCAGGCAAAAGCTGAAACATGCAAAATATAGAAAGAAAAGCCAATTCTTATGGGAAAGGGCTGAGTCACACAAAAACAGGCCCTGGAAATATTTAAGGCAGAGAGAGAGAGAGAGAGAGAGAGAGAGAGAGAGAGAGAGAGAGAGAACAGAGAGAGAGACAGAGAGAAAACAGAGAGACAGAGAGAAAACCACAATAACAACTTAGACAGTTGTAAAGAGTGTAATTAATAACTTCTCAAAGGGGAGAGATATCAATGAATTTTGTCAGTTTGTAGTGTTTTAAGCGAAACATTATTTTCCAGTCATTGGCTGCTATGTACATATATCAAATTGAGGACATTTTTTTCCCTGAAAAATCTTCACAGGATTATGGTGTCACACCTGAATACATATGTAAGCGAAATGAGAAACTGAAGAAAGCCCAAGAGGAGTACGATCATTATATCCAGGAAAATCTTAAGAAAGCAGCTATGAAAATATCAGATGAAGAAAGAGATGCTGTGCTACAGGTAAGGGTCCGGTGCTCTGTATTCTTATGAAACTCTTTGGAACGTCTCCAGAAGAAAAGCCTTCCCAGTCCACCATCAACTGGATGACTCCAGCTAATGCTTCCTTTTTGAAACCACAATCATCTCTTGGTTATAGCAACAAATCACACCCAGCAAGGCTAACTCTGGGAGGAGTGGAAAGTCATAGTATAAAGATTCCTTACCTAACATGTTGATTCCAACGTGGTGAGTTTGTGCTGTAAGGAAGCCCACTTTCTCCTACAACAAATGTATATAAATAAGTTTAGAAAAATATTTTTATGTTCATTCGCAGCTCCTGAATTTATAAAAATTAGTATCTATAAATGAGATCTTTTTCACTAGATGGAGCTCTAGAATAATTGAAACTGCCCCTAAAGCAATTGTTTTCTTCTCTCCTACAAAGAACTATCCAGATTTCTAAATAAAAATGTATTAGGTTTTATATATGCTGTATCTTCTTTATTTTGAGTAAAAGAGACCCAAAAGATGCTTATGCTGGATTTTTAATTTAAGACTTTAGTTTGAAACAATTAAAATATTGGGAGATGCAAGCAGGGCTGTTGCTTTACCATCCTTTGTAGAGAATGTTTATTAATGCCTGCTTTTGTACTTCCACAATGATGCAGTTTCTTATAGAAAGAAAAATATTCTTTATTTTTTACTTTGAAAGCTTTCTACAAGGCTATTTGTAGTGACTTAGAAAAAGAGAGAAAACTTTACCTTAATTTCTGTCAAAAATTAGATTCATATACTGTTAAAAGTATCATAATTACCAGTAAAAAAAATTAAGTGCCTGCTTCACATACAGTTTTGTGCCAAGCCCAGAGTGTACTTACAAAAACATAAAATAAAAATTCTGCTACGAAGCATGTTAGAAACTAATTGGCGAGAGGTGACATACCTACAAACGTGTATGCACAGAGCACAAGCTGTTTTAAGTTTCTAAGACATTGGTCACCACTAACAGATGCAGGCCTTTAGCTGAACCTGAAAGGACAAGGTGATAGGGTACCTTGGACAAGTAGGAATGGCTTAGAAGCAAGGTGGATGCTTGAATGACAGTGACATCCCCAGAGCCCATGGAGATTTGGCAATGGAGTGCGGGAGCAGAGAAAGAGAGATAGGCAAACAGGAGCACTAAGAGATGCGGAAGAGGCCATTTGCACGTCTCCTTTGGGGACAGTGCTGGTCTTCAGTTCACAGTCTCTTTCTAGTTTGAATTCTTCCACTTTTAGAAAGCACTGCATTTGTGGAAGTTGGACTTTAGACCTACATGATGCTGAAATCCATGGGAAAATAGGAACTTCCTTTGGAAGACTTTTCCCTTCCTTGTGCTTTTTTGGCTGTGAAGGATAAATCATCTTCAGCCTTCTCTTCTGGTCTTGGATGCAGCAATAGTCCCCCTCTATCAGATGTCTCATTAGCTTGGAATATAGCTGTCATAGTAACAAGAACAACAACAAAAAAGTCATCAGCCATCCTACTGCCAGTCCCTGAGCCATGCTTCTGTCTCTGGCTGAGAGTACAGACAGTTCTATGGTCAAATGGTTGTATGTCCCTACATAAGCCACACGTCTCATTCTTCACAAAAATAACAGTTTCATTATACTTGGAAGCAATCAGCTGGGCTAATGATTCCTCACTTTTATTTTACATGTGGGGATATAAAAGACAAGCATGCTAGTGGACACATCTGTTCATTCATTTACTTGTTGAAACTCTACTATGTTCTAAGCTTTGTAACCAGCTGAGGAATACTATAATGTCCAAAACAAATGCAATCTTTATGTTAGTTAACTACAGGTTTGTTTTACATTTGCCATTGATCACAAAATAATCAGATTACTGAATAGGGACTAAAACTCACATTTACTAATTGCCAGACTGGTGTTTTCCCTACTATATCGTACACACATGAATGCATGGAAGTAATGAATTTCTGTGAATTGGGGCTCCAGTGGGAAATGAAAGGCATAGTCAACAGGGATCTAGGAACTTATTTACCAAAGGGAAGCTGGGAAGGGAGCCAACAAGGACCATGGAGGCACCTATAGAACTGAGGACAAGGAAAATCCACCACCCCTTAGGATTGAAGGGGGGAGGGACCAAAAAAAAAAAAATGTCCTGAGAGCCTAGTGAGAGATAGACCCTGGAAGAGGGGCCACCTGACAGTTGTCACAGTCACACAGGAGTGCAGCCAGAGCCAGCTCCAGGCAGTGGGGAGGGGAAGGAGGAAGGAACTCCCCAACCTCTGTCCTGTCCCACCACTTCCACTGTTGACTGACCTCAGGCAGAAGCTAGTGGGCGCAAGAACCAGGGAAACAAGACCCACAAGGTCTATTCCTGTCCTCTACCTCTAGTCACTGAGCCAGGCAAGAAGGCAGAACATGTCTGTGAGGAGGCAGCGGGCACAAAAGGAATGTGCAACTGAGGGCATTTCTCTCACTTTTCTTTCTTTGAAATTTCCCCAAATTATCTATATTATTTCATCATTAAGATAGAAGAGACAAAAATTTAAATAATAAAAATAAGGGAAAGGGCTAGGGGAGTTGCTTAGTGGTAGAGCATTTGCCTACCATGTTTGGCCCTAAGCTCAGTCCCTACCCAGCACTACAGAAAGAAAGAAGAAAATAGAAAAAAGGGAATGGCAGGAAGGATAAGAAGTAGAAAAGGGGGAAGGAAGGAAGGAGGAAAGGGTGGAGGGAAGAAAAAATATGGTAGAATGAAGAGAAAAAGAAATTGGTATAACTGATGGATAAAAGACTTTCCTTAGATTAAAAAGTTTTAAAAACAGCAAGGAGGCTACTTCAACATAATATATTAGATTTAGTTTCCATCCTAGCTGTTGACTTGATCCAGACATTATTATACACACTAGAAGATAAAAAGCAAGCTATCCTTTAAAAGGCAATTCAAAGAAAAAACATAGCTGCTGTGACTGCAAGTAATATGGAAATACACCCAACTAGCTCTGAAAAGCCTTTGATATTTGAAAGTGTATAAATACATAGGTTTCCTCTTTGCAGTAGGCACTCCTGTGGAGCACTGTGGAAACATATTTTACATTTCATAATGAAAGACCATGAAGAATAGAGGGTTTTTTTGAAGAGTTATTTTTGGACTACATATCATGGGGTAATAAAACCTGTGTTGACCCATCTTCCTCTTTTTAAAACTTAACCAGAGTGCTTTTCCTCCTGTCTTTTCCATTTCCCTGATCTTTGATATAAAAATCACTCACCAAGGGGTCAAAATCTGTTGCCCTTTTCCCCAACCAGCTTCTTCTATTCATTGTGCGCTAGCCTACTGTTGCTTTTATCTAAGCAAGAAATTAAATCTTTGAGATATTATTGTCCCAAATGAGTTTCCACAAGATTGCATTTGTATGATGAGGCTTATTATGCAAGCATTGTTAACCAAGGTACTTCTACTCCTCTTTTAAACCTAATAATATAGTAAGGGTTTCAATGACTAAGTTTTCCAGGTATTTTTTCAAACTATATTGTCTATTTTTTTTTGTTTTTGTGGTAATAAAATGACCTGAGAAACCATAATAAATAATAAAAGGTATTAATCATTAAAATTTCACTGAATGAACTCAATTGTAATTTAAGATTATTTTGTCAGTGGAGGTTCTAGTGCACTGTGATAAGGAACAGTTAACCAGGCAGAGATGGAAATCACCTTTATTGCTCCTGCGAGACCCCTACTTTTAAATTTGTTGATTTCCAAGACTATAAAACATTAACTACATTATTGAATTAGCATGTGTGCTACATTTAACGATATTCCAATTTCCAGGATACATCAAGGGAAATATAAATCCCTGGACTATATGAGGCTAATTTGTACTTTCAAATATACTGAAAAGATATATAAAAGATTGACTCTTGTAAAATTGAACTCTGGCATTTTTAAAATCCCATTTTGTCAGGCATAAGAAAGTATAGTCATGTAACTCTTTGGTGTAGTTAAAATCTATTGAAGATGAGGATAAAAAGGAAAATTATTTTTTTAATTTTTTATTAGAAATAATTTCTTGTCCAAATAATATTTTTATCAGGACTCTCAAATTTTAGTTGTTGGTTTTACCAAAGCATTTGCTATGAACTTAGTTTTATAGTATTTATAACTCTGCATATTTGTATTTGGTGGTAAAAACAAATATATTGACATTATGACAGCAAATAAATACTCTGAGTGAGGAGATAATAGACAATCAAGGATAGGGTTTGGCCTGTGTACAATATTTTGGTTACTGCTGCCAAGTGCTTGATACTTCATTTTTACAGTGGCCTTTTTTATCAGTGTTCTTGTCCTATTTACATTTTTTGCTATCAGTACAGCTTCTTTACGATTTACTTCACTTTTGCAGTTTACTTTAGCGCTTCCAGTTTCTTTGTCATTTGCAGGGGCTTAAGAAGAACTGGGAGGAGATGCACAAAGAATTCCAGTCCCTCTCAGTCTTCATAGACTCTCTGCCCAAGAAGATCCGCAAGCAAAAGCTGGAAGTAGGCATGAAACAGCTGGAACATGACATTGGTATCATCGAAAAGCACAAAATTATTTATATTGCCAATAAGAAATAGGAGGTTTTTAAGGGGTAGTAATTTAGTGTTGGAAAATATATTAAACCAAAAATTTTCAAAGATGACAGTTCTATGAAGAAGATAAAAGAAATTTTACACAAAATATTTAAAGGATAATAGAATTATTTGCTTATGTAAAAGAATAGTATTTTGCTTTTCACATATTAAACCATTAAAGTTTGAGGCTATACGTTTAAGCCCTATCATGTCATTCATTCTTCCTGTGTACTTGCTTCACAAAACCTTTCATTTCTGAGCCCTGGAAAATAGCACTCAGAACTTCGTTTTTTCTTCACTGTGTAGTACAAGAAGAGTCTCATATAATGGTAGGCATTTTGAATTGCGAGTGGGAGCATACGCCCTGTTGTTACTCTGAGGTATTTCCTAATGATTGTTTTCTAACTGCTCAAATTTAAAAACTATATAATCTCAGATAGCTTTGTGTCACTTGCATTTATTCCCAACTATAGATATTTTAAGTACCCATAACCTTCTATATGATGGAGAATATATTTTTGAAGAAAGAAAATTAAGACAACTTACAGAATCAAGAAGGCACATTGAAAAAGGCAACATTGAGGTTAATTAAATACAAGAATTTTTTTTAAACTGGTATTCTGCTTTATTTCATAATTTACTATGCACTTTTTACCAAAGTTGGTTCTTTACTTCTTGATTCTATTTATCTATTTTGTGAACCCTAAAGTTTCTTTTTGAAAGATTATGTAATTTATTAAGCAGTGTTTATGTCAGTAGAACTTTCACCAACTCAAAATAAGAACAAATCTGTACATAGCTTTTAAAAAAGATTCTTTGATGAAATATTAAGTTTAAAGAACTCAGTGAAACATCAAATAATATAACCATTTCTATTACCCAACCAGTTCTTATCCTCTAGACAACACAGAAGAAAATGATAATCTTTTTCCAAACTTTTTTGCAGTTTGGAAATACACAATTTGAGCACATCATTTAAAAATGTAGGTGAATTAAAGAAAAATGTTTATATAGTTAGTTTTGAAAATTAACTTAAAATTCTTTTTGTACCTCTCATGAGATGTAATATGCATGTTCCTTATTCCTGTTAACCAAGTGAGGAAATAAAGAATAGTATGTGATAAACACAAAGGATGGTATATGGTAAATTCTCAGTTATACAGAGTGCAGTTTAGGATAGGCTGACAGCTGAAGCACTAAACCATTACATAACCAAACAGAAATTCATTAGTATTCACACAGTGTGTATGGTACTGTGTTATAAACAGGTCCACAGAACCATTTTCCTCAGTTTCTCAGAGATCAGACTTGTGGAGTGAATAGGTTCCAGCCTATCTGGAGCTGGCTAGTACTATGTAGCAGTCAAACCTAGAAATGCTGCTTGTCATTCCCACTTACAGTCTCTTGGTAAGTGGGAATAGCTAGTTTCACAGACTCACCTCAAATCCTAACTGCATGACAAAATAAAGGAAAATTTCTCATTTGCATCACTGTCTGATGGGAATTTGGGTGGGGTGTATTTTGTTCCATCCAATCATTGAGGAGCTCAGTCCTTTTCTGGCTAATAGCTGTCCTGGCACAGCCAGCAGCCTTGGTGAAGTGAAGGATAAAATGTATAGGTTAGTATTTTATTCGTGAAGTGATTATAATAAATACTTTTTTTGAACACTTTAGAATCAAGAGCATTGCAAAAATATTCTAATTCTAATACCTTATAGATATTGTGCTTTGGAGTTATGAGTGCAAGTGGTCTTAAATGTTGAAATGATAGCCTTGTGGTCTTAACAGGTGCTGTTTATCTTGTTTTCTGTAAATGTTTACTGAGTGTTACAGGTTGTATCTAGATGTTCCCCAAAGCCTCATGTAGTCGTAAGAGGGGATTTTTCAGAGGTGGCAAGGTCGAACGTGTATGATGCTGGGATCAAGTGTATGTGATTACTAAATCAGTCCACTGATTGGGTTGGCATAGTTCTGGGTGTGAGCAATACCCACCCTAAGGGCAGAAGGTCGGAACCCGAGAAAGAATATGAAAGGAACAGAAAGAAACTGCTGATCGCTTCCTTGCTTTGCTGCCTCCAGTCCACCATGACCTGTTGTTCCTCTGCGATGCCCCTCTTCTGTGCCGCACTGCCTTGAGCCAGCCAACTATGAACTGAAACTAAAAACTGAGCTACATAAGCCTTCCCTCCTTTCACTTTGGGTGTCAGGTATTTTATCTCAGCAATGAAAAATGTAACTAAGACACCAAGAAACCCAGACTTTCCTCCATGACGCACCACTTTGTGCTTAAGATGGACTTGAGCCTTTTCTCCAACATTCTTCCTTGTTCCTGGGAGGGCCTCCCCTACCATGGATCCTAGCCTCGTATAGCTTTGGTTCAGTCTCCATCCATTCTCCCACACTCATTTCTGGTCATCAGATGAGTCAAGACAGGTATAGATACCTCACTTAAGAAGTTGGTCAGTGACTGATCAGATTCTCTCTTGAGATCCTGAATCAAGAGACATAGAGAATGCATCCCTTTGGGCATAGATACGTAAGCCTGAAAGACCATGTTTTGTTACTGAAATTAGTTGCAATTCCTATTCCAAAGAGCTCTGAGTATAAGGATAAGTATTTGACGTCACCTGGCCTTTTGCTATGATCTCTTCAGCTTTAGTTCTTGAACCCCTGCCCTTTCTCTACCTTCTATAGCAGGGGTTACCATAATACTGATGTTCTAGGAACCACCCAGATCTGAATACATGGTTCCCTCTGCTCTGAAAGCTATCATATTATTTATCTCCTCCTCAAAATCTGTTTGGCAAATTCCTAATATTAAGAGTCAGCTCACATTTCATGCCTCTGAAATCCTTCTTTGATCCCTCATAATCCAGCTTCCTGTTGTAACACTGATCATACTGTATTTTACCTATCTGAATATTTTGCCATTTCCTGTAAAGTCACAAGCTTCCAGGGAAAAGGACCATGTATCCTTCCATTTGCTTTCCTGAGAATCAGCAGCATAGCTGGTCTATAAATGACACTCAAAAAATGTTATTGAATAAATTCATAAATTATATCCAAATATATTTTAATGACCCATTGACATTAGTCTCATGACATAAACCAGATGCCCAGGGATATTTTGGTGTTACTAAACAATCCACGCCAAACAGCTGGCACAGGCTGCAGTCTGGAGGAGACAACTTCGTGCAGTGCTGAAGAGCTCAGGCACTGCAGTCAGCACACCTAAGTTCACAGCCCAGCTCAGCCCTAGTCAGTGAGATTCTTCGAAGCTATGTTTTCCTTACCTGTAAGATGTGGTTGATAGCCCATGCAAGTGCTTTGTACAATCAGGATGAGAATGAAACAGTGTATACTTAGTAGTTAGCATAGTTCCCAGCATGTGGAAAGAAAACTTATTGCTAAGGATTTTAGTAGGAATCCTCTCTCAAGTCTCTCATACTTTGGTCCACTACTATACTGTCAATAGAACTGGCTGAGCCAATAAAATCTGTCTGCAGGTAAGGATTTGATTGAAAGACTTCCAAGCCCTATCCTAGGTTACCCATCCTGGTTATTCTCCTAAGTGATTCATGCAGAGGATTACAACTATGTTTGTAACTTCTATCTGTAGCACCTGGCCAAAATTTCACAGTACTGCCTAGATTATTTAGCACAGACATTCCAAGAAAAAAATACCTTAAATTAGTAATGAGACCAAAGACCATTGGTGGTAGGGTCTGTAAAGTTGTTTATAATAAAGCCTCTTGGATGATATTTATTTATAATCTCATGCAGTCAGGATCAGACCTCAAGGCTGGGGGCTCAGTTTGCTGTTCTTAGCACCCTGAGAAGATGAATAAGAATGCAGACGCTCTTGGACCCAAGTTGTCACTTGACCCTCAATCCTTAAATTGAGAAACACCTCTCACCTAAATAGATCACAGCCAGTGCACTCTGTTCCAGTTGTCTAGCTACAAGGGAAGATAGATTATAATCAAAAGAATACTTTGGGTACAATAGAATCAAAAGGAAAAGAAAAATTTGGATTATAACAATCCCTTCAGATAACATAATTCAGATTCTGTCATTCAACAAGTATTGGCCATCTATCTACTACATGCCAAAAACTGTTCTAGTTGCTAAGCATAAAGTGGTAAACAAAATATCTGTGTTGGAATGATAAATGATCACACAAGTGCATTTATAATAAATTTAAATCAGTGTTTCAAAAGAAAAAATAAAGATATTATGCAAGAGAACATTAAGGTAATCCTAAATTGGATGTTATGGGCACTAGTGCATAAAATTAGACTAGTTTGGAGAAGTGGTTCAGCGAAGGGCTGTGGAGGGAGAAGAGTGCCAAGCCTAGAGAATAAAACTTGTGAAGGATCTGAGGCAGCCAATGAAGCGAGCAGCCACTGGGGCTGCAGTGTCCTGGGGGACAAGGTGGAGGCACAGACTGCAGATGGAGAAACAGAGGCCACTAACAAGCTATAGGCAGAGAGATGGGGTGATGCAGTGTTTTTAAATTGTTACTTGCTACCTGTTTTAAAGTGGAAAAATAGAGAAATGTGGGGATAGCCAGCCTGATAGCTCAGCGGACTAAAGTTCCTGCTTAGGCAGAGCACAAGGACCAGGGTTTATTTCCCGACTGCTGTGCAGGCCCCACCCCCCGGGACGCGCTGAGATGGCTCCTGAGACTAGGCATGGTGGGCACGCCTGTAATCCCAGCACTTGGGAGGCTGAAAACAGGAGAATCACTATGAGTCCGATCTACGGAGTGAGGCCCTGTAGACCATAAATACAGAAAAGAAAAAAAAAAGTGTGGGGATACTGGGAGATTATCACAGGACCCATGTGGAGAAAACATTGGGACAGGCTAAAATTGCAATAGAGAAGAGACAAAGTAGCTGTTGGCCTTAAGAAATATTTAAGAGAGAATACAAATGCCCCATAAACACATGAAAAAATGTTCAGTTTCATTGTCCATTAGAGAAATGTAAGTTAAAACAACACTGAGATTCCAACTTACTCCAGAAAGTATGGCCATCAATAAGGAAACAACACGTACTAGTGAGGCTGTAGTGAAAAAACACCCTTCTATATTGCTGTTGGGAATATAAACTACTGAAAACATTATGGAAATCGGTAAAACTAGAAACTCCGTGTTGGGCTGGGGCAATACCTTAGCGATCTAAAGGCCTGCCTGGCAGGTGCAGGGACCTGGGCTCTATCCCAGGTACTGCATGCCGTGCCGGCTCCATGCCAAGCCAGCTGGTGAAACCGGGGATGGTGGTGCATGCCTGTAATCCCAGTGCTGGTGAGGCTAAGACAGGAAGATCCCTTCGAGTCTGAGCTGCATAGCGAGAGCTGTAGCAAATACATAAATAAATGACTTAAAGGGATGTACAGAAAGTTCAGCAGATTAAAGCGCCTGCTGAGACAGAGCACAGGGACCAGGGTTTGATCCCTTGCACCACAAGCCGTGGCAGCCCCACCCCCGGGACATGCTGAGATATGACTGAGACTGGGTGTGGTGGCACATGCCTGTAGTCCCAGCACTTGGGAGACTGAAAACAGGAGGATCACTGCAAGTCCAATCTGCATAGTGAGACCCTGTAGACCCTTACTAAATATATTAAAAAAGAAAAAAGAAACTCCACGTGACCTAGGTATTCCACCTTGGGGTATCTTCCTGAAAGACTTACGACATCATACCACAGTGATATATGCATGTGCATTTTTACGGCATAATTCATAATCTTGGAAGCAACCCCATATGTCCATCAGTGGACATATGGACGAAAAAAATGTGCTATCTGTCTATAGCACAATACTAAACTATAAAATAACATAAACTTGAGACATTTGTAGGAAAATTGATGCAACTTCAAAATGTAATGGTACATGAAGTAAATCCAACACACAAGCTTAAATGCCATATAGTTTCTCTTATGTGAGAAATACAAGTACAAATGAAGAGTAAAAGTAAATGATTAATAAGAGGAAATGTGGAGATGAACCTTTCATAAATGGGAGTGGGGAGAAGAGCATGTAAAAAGATCTCAGGGGTATCATCTACATGTACCAACTTTACAATGAATGTAGTCCTTATGTGCTGCAAACATGAACTTACAAAAAAAATGAAAATGGGGGAGATGGGATAGAGATGGAGGGAAGAATGAGGGGGAGGGGAATAAAAATCAAGATGCGTTAAGTACATGTACCTACCTATTCTAAGAAGAGTGTAAGCATCGTATACTGCAAGCAGGTACTAATAAAAATTTTAAAAATATTTAGCAGCTAAAAATAAAATTTGGTGATGGATTGAAAAGGGAAGAAGAGGGAGAGCTCAAAGATGATGACCACATTCTGACTTGAGCATCTGGGTAGCCAAGGAGTTGCTTTTTGTGTATAGAAAATCGAAGAGAAAAGATTGGAGGGGAGCAGGACAGAGATGAAAAACGCAATGTTAGAATGTTACTGCCTCATCTCTGAGACACTAACACCCAACACCCAGCACCTGAAGGAGGAAAGGTTTAGTTTGGTTCACAGTATTGTTTTGCTGTTTTGATTCCTTTTTGGTTTTGTTTTTTATTTTGGTTCACAGTTTGCACAGGTTTCAACCCATAGTCAGCTGGCTCCAAGGCAGCTGGCATGGCAGAGGACAGACTGCAGGAGAGAGAGCTCATGGCATGGCAGCAAAAAGCAGAGGGTAAGGGAGGAGGATGGTGGTAGAAGCTTCCAGGTCTCACTCCAGTGACCCACACCCTCCAACTAGCTTTCCCCCCCTCATGTCACCTTTAGGTATACACTGGCCGGGGTGCTGATCCACTGAGAGGCCTCGTGCTCCGTGATCTAATCTCCTCACACAGCCCCACTGGCCACTGCCCCACCAGTGAGCACACAGCCCTGGGGGGAGGGCCTTGAGATACAAACCATCACAGGCAAGGGATGTCTCTAACAATACTGTGACATCTGGTAGATAATTTCGAACTTAGACTCAGTCTAGAAATAGTTTGAATGAGTTCTTATCAATTCTACCATTCAGAAGTTTGATGAGAGCAGGAATGACTACTGATAAAATACAGGTAAGTGGCCAGAGACTTCAGAAGAAAACCAGGAAACCAAAAACATTTAAGCAAGAGCACATCTTCCTTAAAGCAGATCCTTGACAATGGAAATAAAATTCTCAACACCCCAGTAAAAACTTTCTGTCCCTTGATCTGGGAAGATACGCTCAAGGTCTACACTGGAGACCCTGCCACTGTTTTATATTTGCAGCCCTAGGCCTTTTGTTGAAATCCTTTGATAAATGCTAGATAGATTAGATAGATAGATAGATAGATAGATAGATAGATAGATAGATAGATAGATAGATAGATGATTGATAGATTGATTTAGTAATGCTATTAGCTAATACCACATTAGCCTATAAATCAATGTGCTAGTAAATATAGTTGAAATTAATACATTTTGAATGTCATACTGAAGGAAACATTTCCATAGATCAAGGACATTTTTCAGCAGAGAAGGAGGCCAGTGCTTGTTAATATCATAATTAACTATCAAGAAGACAATCTAATTTCTCCCATTCCCAGGTTCCTAGTTAACAATGGAAAGAGGCGGAGGCCCGCACGGCGGCGCCGCCCAGCCTCACCCCCCACGCACCCTTGCACTCAGTGTTGCCCCCCCTCCCCTGCCCCCGGCCTGTTGTAGATCATGCCGCCACTGGCGGCCCAGACTGTCGAGCAACGGTAGCCTAGGACAGTTGGCTGTCAAGTGACACTGCTTCTCCCAGCCCCGCCTGACCCCGAGAGACAGGCACGTTCCCCACCGCGAGAGGGGTGGGGAAGTGGGTAGTGAATTCGGAGCCACCTGGGAGGGGGGAGTAGTTCCTGCCCCGGAGAGCGGCGAGGCTGCGCCACAGTTGATTAAGGAAGATTCTCACAAGAATAACACTTCAGAGACTTCAACTCAACCTGCTGCAGCAGTTCAGGGAGCTCATATTTCTCATATTGTTCAGCAGGTATCATCTTTATCTGAAAGTGAAGAGTCTCAGGACTCATCTGACAGCATAGGCTCCTCACAGAAAGCTCACGGGATCCTAGCACGGCGCCCATCTTATAGAAAAATTTTGAAAGACCTGTCTTCTGAAGATACACGGGGCAGAAAAGGAGACGGAGAAAACCCTGGAGTTCCTTCTGTCACTTCTATGTCTGTTCCAACTCCCATCTGTCAGACTAGCAGTGGACAGTACATTGCCACTGCCCCAAATGGAGCTTTACATTTGGCCAGTCCAGGAACAGATGGTGTACAGGGACTTCAGACATTAACCAGGACCAATTCCGGCAGTACTCAGCAAGGTACGATTCTCCAGTATGCACAGACCTCTGATGGACAGCAAATACTTGTGCCCAGCAACCAGGTGGTTGTACAAACTGCATCAGGAGATATGCAGACATATCAGATCCGTACCACACCTTCAGCTACTTCGCTGCAACCAACTGTAATGATGACGTCTCCAGTGACTCTATCATCTCAGACAGCCAAGACAGATGACCCCCAGCTGAAGAAAGAAATACGGTTGATGAAAAATAGAGAAGCTGCTCGAGAATGTCGCAGAAAGAAGAAAGAATATGTGAAATGTCTGGAAAATCGAGTTGCAGTCCTGGAAAATCAAAATAAAACTCTAATAGAAGAGTTAAAAACTTTGAAGGATCTTTATTCTCATAAAAGTGTTTGATTCTTTAAAAAGAGTATTTTTGTGGACTTGTCTAAAAAATTAGATTTTTTTTTGTAGTGGAGTTTATAAATTAAAAGGTCAAAAGTGAAGCTTAATTTCTATATATGCTTTTGCAATGCAAAGATAAATGTCTTATCCACGAGATTTGGTGACAGGATACCATGGAAAGTGACCTCAAGGGAACTACTGGCACAACTGGAAGCTTTGTACAAATTAAACAGAACAAGCAAGAAATGAACAATTTCAATATTCGAACTGGTTCTTAGCCCAGAAATGACAGAGAAGTCATCAATCCAAATTCAGTACATAGAAACTTTAAAAATAAATCAGTTTCCCATATAGGTTTGCATTTGTTTACTGAAATTTACCCTTTTCAGGTGTGTGTGTGTGTGTGTGTGTGTGTGTGTGTGTGTGTGTGTTGTTTCTACCAATAAATTCTAAATTACAAATTAAAAGAAAACCCTATACAATATGAAATATATAAATTATGTTTTCTGATTATGTCTACTTGTTTTAATGTCAGATCTTCTAAATGGGTTTTTAAAAGTTTGTTGGACTTCAGATGATTTTTTTTGAGACTGTGTTAACTATTTTTGAGGTCTTGTCCTAAAAGGCATCTAAGGTACACAAATGGAATGTGGTGATTTTGTAACTTTTTTTTTATCAGAATGAAAAGAGCACTGTTTAAAAGTTTGATACTTTTAAATAGTTTGGTTTTAGCTTACTCTGGTAAGGGTAAATTTTTTTTTTTTTTTTACAAAAATACGAATTGGTTTTTTGATTGTGTATCCTATATACAGTTCAATATCCATTACTTACTCTGTTATGCTTTAGTAGAATGAAATGTTTACAGGCCCTTAAAATATTTTTTTAAAGACCTTCTCAAGATTGCATACCAAAGGATTTCCAAGAGGATTTTATAATCAATTTCATGTAAAGTTTATCAGGTTCTAAAATAGTACAATTACTAAGGCAACTTTATTTTAGAGACTATTTTGTAATGTAGCGAATGGTACCTTTATAAGAAAAGTGACTGCCAATATATTTTTATAGCTAATCTTTATAAATTCTAATGTTGAGTTTTTAATGATTATTTCAAATGTTTATATAGTTTGTTCAGTAAAGAAGATTTTGCATTGCAAAGTATCACTTTTATATTATGGGTAGTAAAGTTTTCAGATTAGCTAAAATTTGAATTGTACATTTTATATGCAGTTTACCTAGAGTTCAAAATGCTGTCAGTACACCAGTGTTTAACCTCTGTACTCTAATTTGTATACACTTTGAAATTGTACTGCGAAACTATTGTGTGCTTCTTATATGTTTCCTATTGTTGCCTATGAAATTAAAGAACATTTGGTAAAAGTTTGCTGAAAAAAAAAAAAAGAAAGCAATTTATTCCTCAACACTGGTTACACCAAATAAACATGTGAATAAGGGACAAAAAGAGTAAGATAAATTTCCTGGTGGGTTACTTCCTGCTTAAAAAATAAAAAGTCAGGGCTGGGGAAGTAGCTCAGTGATAGAATGCTTGCTTAGCATGTATAGGCCTTGATTTCGATCACTAATACCACCAAAAAAAAAAAAAAAAAAAAAAAAGTTTGACTATGATAGCAAGATGTGGTTCATGGAAATTCACTTAATTTCCTCATCTGCAAAACAAAGAAACTAGGTTTTGTCCAACCCTCCTTTGAGTCCTAGCTGTCCATAGCTATAAAACTAAACCACATGACTATTTTCAACTTAAGCTGAAAACAAAAGTTTGACCCCAAATGAATGAGAATGTCACAAAGTTCTCCCCTTGGATCCAGAGCCAGTGATTTGCTCTTAGTAACCCAAAACCTCATCGAACATACTAGGAAAAACATTAAGTAAAGAAAAATTGTCACTGATTTTTATGTCTTTTCAAAGGAAAGCTTACTTAATGACAGTCCTTTGAGGTTTTCAACCACAAGATATTCCTCACACTACAGATTTTGAATATACAATCTCTCTAAGAAGCTAGTGTTTATAAAAAAAGCAGACCAGTGCTAGAGAGATACCTCAGTGGTCTAAAGCGCCTGCTTAGGCAAGCTTAGGCAAATGCGCAGGGACAATGGTTCAATCCCCAATGCCACATGTCATGCCAGGGTGCCCCCAGGGTGGGCTGAGCCAGCCACAAAAAAAAAAAAAAAAAAAGCTATGACCTTTTATCCAGAAACAGTGGTTCCAATTATAGACAAATATTTTCTGTGATTATGCGACAGCCTCTGCACTGAGGACATCTGAGGCCTGCAGCCACAGAGCCATGTCTTCTTAATACAAAATTGCTGAGTGAAGTCAGAAATGAGAGCAGTTTTCCCCTTCACAAACAATGCACCTGATGACAAAGAAGGAAAATTAGCAACTGAGATAGTGAATGCCAACCATGCCTGAAAGTGAAAGCCCTGGTTTCACTGTTTTGCCCTGAAAGGTCCTATGCATATGACTTTTTAAACTGCACCTGCAGATGTGGGCTTCAGATGCAGATTCTTTCATTCTGAAGAACGCTGCCTATATAGGAAATGACATGGGAAAGGTGATAGACGTTCTTGTTGCAAGCTCCTTAAATTAGTGTGATCTTTGAAGCAAGAACATGTACTTACTTAAGGGACACTGCTAACGTGGAAAACATCTGTGGAACTCTTTGGAAATAAAAAGTACTCATCATCCCCCTCAAACTCTGTCACCACATGCTCCTTTTCTGTGACCACCGAAATTATCATTTTAATCTATCTTTCCAGAACTTCTTTATAAAAGCAAATGTTTATATACACATTTTACATAGGTATATAATTACATAATATATGCCTATATTTTCACTTTTGTTTTAATTCTAATAAGATCGTGCAATAACATTTTTCTTTTTCAGTTAGTAATATTGTGGAGCATATTTTTGTCAATATATAATCTTATTTTATTTGTTTTTGTAGATGTATAGCTCTGAATCATGTAGGTGTATATAATATACTTCACCAGTGCCTTACTAATGGATGCTTAAGTTGTACGTTTAAATTATTATGATATTTGCTATTAAAAAGAATGCTACAGTGAGTGAACTTAAAAATATATTTCATATATTTGGACATATTCATAGGATATTATTACCAGGAAAGAAAGAACTAAATCAACATTGTCAATTATAATTTTATTAGAAGCTATTTTTTGAATCAGGAAGATAGCTCAGTGGCATAAGCACCTGCCTGGCACTCACAAGGTCCCGAGTTCGATCCCCCAGTACCACACACAAAAAAAAAAGATGAGGAGCTATATTTTATTTTATTTTTTGCCTATGCAATTACTATGTGATGGTATACATGCTCCAAAAATTATAATTCGCCCAAACAGGAGTTGGGAATGTGCTACAGAGTCTCCCTCATGTGCCTTTTTTTCCTACAGCTATTGAATCTCTTCCCAGAGGCAGTCACTATAATCAACTTCTTGTGTACATATCTCCAGGTTATATTCTATGCATATAGTTATTTATAATATAAAAATAACCATATATGTATCGATAAGACAGTTACTCTTAGACAGATACTTGGCTACCTTCTTTCTATAATGATGGAAGACACTTGCCAAAAGAGGCATCATGTATCATCATAAACACAGATGTTAGTGTTAGGAATGCATATTTTATGTTGTTTTCAACCTAAACAAGTTGTTATGTTGCATGTTGCTGTTATGTTGCTTCACCTAGACATAGTAACCTCACACCTGCAATCCTTTGAGGTAGGAGGGTCACAAGTTCAAAACCAGCCTCTTACATGGCAAGAGCCTGTCAGAAACAAACAAACAAAAAAAAGATACTGAAGGGAGAATAAAAGGGGAAGGAAGGGGGAGAAAGAAGGGGACAGAAAGAATGGGGAAACAGTGGTTTTGTTAGCTTTAACTGTGTCTGTTTTTCTGGATGGCAGAAAGGCTATGAATAGGGGACCCTATCTTACCTGGACCACAATATTTAATTTTCTTCTCAGAAGTCCTTGTAGCCATCTGAAATCTACTTTCAGCATCATTTTGTGCACATGGAATGGGATGGGGGGAGCCATTGTCAACTGCTTCCAGTGCTTTGCATTTCTCTCTTTCTTGGTTGTCTTTTACAATACTTGGAGGCTGCTCATCTTACACACAAAAGAATCTACCCTCTTCACATCCACCTTTCCATGCAAACTTTACATTTCTTGTCTGAGTCATCTTCTTTCATATTATTTTGCTAAGCAGTTTACCTGCCACAGTATTCTGTTTATCCAACCAGTTTCCCTGAAAGAGGTAGAAGACATGTGACTGCCTTTCTATGACAGCATAAGTGACACTTTTACAAATTGTTTCATCACAGAATAACAAGGGTTAACAGCTTTCTGGTCTAGTCAACAGTCTTGCCTATCACTTAAATGTCTACTGATTCCACGACTATTATGAGGACTTCAATCTTTGCAAGACAAATGTTATCAAGTTTTATCTTTCTCAGGATTCTGTTTCAGTGATGTGGCTGTTGTATCTTTTAAGAGGATAGAATAATGAGGATTTGCTATCATGTGCCATGGCTAGTCAAGACAAAATTAACTGTCCAATTTGAAGTTTCTTTCAAGCCAGCAAAACAAAAAACAGAGGGACCTAGCAGCTGTCTGCTTTCTTCCCATTCCCTGCTTTTCTGAGGCCAACACAGAGGATAAACCTTAATCTTGTGCAATTCCCACCATGAGCTGTGCTGTTTTGGACTAATACAAGTTTCTTTTATCTTTATTGGCTTGGAGAAGACAGTCCATTTTTTCCTGGATAAGTATGATGGCTCTACACAGCCAGCAGGCCCAGGCTTTAGGCCAGTGTACCCTGGAGGCCACATGTGGTTTAATCTGGACAAATACTTTGAAACAAATTCCCTGGCTTTTCTTCAGAATTATTTAGATGACAGGCAGCTGCCACCCACATAGCGAGATGGTGTCCAGCACTGGCTAACACAAGTGCCTTGTGGTGGTAGATGGTATAAACACTGAGATGGGTGGGTTGGCCTCACATTATAATATTGTCTTAGAATTTGGATGATCATCTTACTGTACCATTAAACTGAAGGGTTTTTGGTAATACACCCAAATTGTTCTGGCACACGCTTTAAGGAACTGAAATATTGTATGAACCTAAAAGACTTCATCCTCTAAATGTACTCTATAACACAAAAAACTAAAATGAAAAAAAGTCCCAAGATTCTAAACCTTCA